TCGCAAGTCAATTTAAACTTACCAGGATTTTTAAACGTAGCATTTTTGTCATTTAATTTGTAGCTAACATTCCTTACAATCGCCAGCAGCTGAAGGGATGGTGTAAATCCAACTAGGGTCCATGCAGGTAGCCAAGGTACTGTAAGTCCCCATGGTCCCTAGTATGGTGATCGACCTTCAGTTGTTGGCGATCTATAGCCTGTTTTTATCTTGTATTGTCCCAATAGTGCTATTAGTTTTAACCTTCCACACTAGTTTTAAATCTAATTGTGATATTCTAGTTGTTTTACTGTCCTTCGATGACAGGTTTTATAATATATACATATTCCATTACAATGTAACATGTTCTCGTCACGATATGGCTGAAATATTGCCGATGTGACGTTAAATTATAACTCACTCACTCACTCACCAATATTCCAGCTATATGGCCGCAGTCTGTAAATAATCGAGTCTGGACCAGACAATCCAGTGATTAACAGCATGAGCAGCGATCTGCGCAAGTGGGAACCGATGACATGTGTCAACCAAGCCAGCGAGCCTGACCACCCGATCCCGTTAGTCGCCTCTTACGACAAGCATGTGTTACGGAAGGTTCATTCTAACCCGGACCTTCACTGGTCTGTTAACAAGAAATGGCAACGGAATGAAAACACAGCATGACGTGTACAGGTAAGGTGACAAAATACTAGTTCCTACTTACAGTGAAGTCAACGATGGATGTGTTTGTCAGGCTGGTTTTCAAAGAAACTGTTCCTGTGTCCTTTTCTATTCGGAAATACGTTGCTGCAGGTCCTTCGCCGGTGATGCTGTACGTCAGGCTTCCGAAGTTACACTGTAATGTTTAAACGGCATACTCAGCAGATTCATGTCAGCCTAAAGGCAAGCGTATATATCATATATATGATGGCGAGTACAGTCGGGATAACACTAAATATTTTGCTCTCAAAAACAAATGGAATCCGATTCTACTCAAGAGCATTATTATATACTCTCTTGACTATAATCAGACACAGATTTCATCGGAACGCTGATGAACCGAGTATTGCCTTGATGAAACTAGAGCAGAACAATCATTTCATTCTACTCTCGACTGAAATCTTAAAAAGACTGGACATGATACAAACCAAAGTGTCGTTATCCGAAGCGCTCAGTGTTGCGACGCTGGCGTCTACAGGCAATGTTTCTGGTATGGTCTGTTGCACCTCGGAATTAATGAAGACTGGGGCATAGAGGTTGTCTCCAGCTGGAATAGAGGCCTACGATAAAGACTTATATACAATGTGTACAAATACAATTTATCATCTTCTACAGCCGTACTTAATTGCCATGCCTCATCGGTGCGTCATGTATACTTACACCAACAGATGATATTCACATTTGATTCAGTGTTGAGATTCTTTACTCTCTTTGTTGTGGGAGAAATATGAACAAAGACCTACTGATGTACAAGGGATCGTTGTAAAGAATACTCACGGTTACAAGGCGGAGGGGTGACTTGTGTCGTCAGCTTTACGTAGACCAGCAGCACACAGGTCAGTTTGGTCAATGTCGGAACTGGCGGCCTTGCAGCCATCACGTGAATCTGTCTTGGAGCTAAGTGAAGTGATAACTTTCAGTATTCAGACCATGAGAAAACAGCATGTCACATTCCAGGAAATAATGATAATGTTTAGCATCGTAGCGAACGCATGGCCCTTTTTGTTCAGATTGTAAGTATCAGTACTTGGCACTAAACAATGTGTTCCATGTCTAGGATAACAATAAGGTATCGTGTCATTTGATTATATCTCTGGTATGTATTCCCTTTCCTCACGCCCCTCTTGCGGTTATCGAATTTGCATTTGAATTTGAATACCTATGCCATTCGGGTATGACGGACATGTTTTTATGCCGTTAGCAAATGTCAAGGATAAATGCTTCAGTTAATTGATAAATCGCACACGTTGTTCAACTATTTATGTGTAAGCCATTGTGGTAGTATTTACGCATTCCACGATAGCATGCTATCAGCAAGTATCATACAATGCATGTTGATCATTTTAAATCCAAATAACCAACAAGTGCTGCGTGTACTCGCTCCGACTAATGCCCTTCCTATAATGCAAGCCCATATACCATGACGACACGAATATCTTTTCAAACTAATATGGTGACTGTCATCTAAGTTTTTCAAACTCAAACTCCCTATACCCGATAATGCATGGGATATGTTTATCTCCTTGTCACTGGGGACCTGCAGAACATGTTCAGTGCTAACGAACGATCGGGCAGACTGACGGATGAAAACCCATTTTAGCCTCTTACAAACGATAGGCTAGGTAAATAATGTATTTACTACACGCATTCACGCTTGACCTATAAGCTCTACATACAATACAATCAAGATGGCAAACAGGGATGTTCTTTGTCTGCTAGTGCATGACGAGATTCATTCCTGTTTCTGAATACTCTCAAACAGAAGTTTGTGGATTTTGAGGCGAGACACATCATGCACCTGTCTAATCTTCTCTACACGCAAACGTGTGCAATTTCTCACCTTCACGCCAAAACCCAGGTAGATTTGCACACAGCTAACTTGAGCGAATTTTGGAGTTCTGTGTTGAGGCAGCTTGTCCTATCAGGATGTATAATATTACCTTAAAATGGGGAGCGCTTATATATAGGCACTTGAAGAACCGGTTTGTTATTGTAATGGGATTGAATGTGAGATGATGGGTTGGCTGGAGGGTTGGCGGGTGCACATTCCACAACAAGTGAAGTGTGGAAAGAGAAGCACAGTTACTGTTTCTTCAAAGTGACTGCCTCTTCAGCCTTCAGCCTTCAGCCAAATAGTCAGTCGTGTATGACGGTTATATAAACATTGGGAAAAGTATCGCAAAACCTATGATTATTAACCACCATATAGCCATTTATAATCATATCATAATTATGTTTGTTTGTATAACTGTTTTGACCATTCGGGAACCAGATGGAAGTATGGAAACAAAAAAGGGATTGGATTAACAGTCGCTCTTTTCTCAACGCGAATGCCTCTTCAGCCTTCTGCAACATCGGATTCATTATTCATATAGGAACCAATATACACTCGAACCGAGCAAGGCCAAAATAACAAAACAGGATGTGATAGTGGAGAAGAGACAAGACTGGAATATATACAACTGGTGAAATTATGACTGGTACGAGGGACGGATAAAAACATTGTCTTACTTCCACTGGGTTATGTATGTCATTTACAATACTAAATGCAGCTCTTTCGATGATCCTTGGCTACATTTGAACCAAGTATTCTTTGACTGAATGGACAAATTGTTTTATGTTGTCATAAGTATATCTCCAACAGCTTGGACATATTGTCTACTTTAGGCGCTGATCCATCTTCTGATACTTTTGAGGGATTCGCAAGAATAGATGGCTCTTGAGATTAGTACTATCTGACAGTGACTAACCAACAGTCAGTGTTTTTGAACATCCCAGATGACATCCCAATTGTAGAAAGTGACCACAAACCACACGAGTCAATCCCGAAGAAACCAGAAGGTCAGAGTTCAGAGCGTATGCAGCAAGGGCGAGGCTGTCATTTGGCTATTTCTTAACACCTTCTGCAATGCTTTTCTTGCTTTCATGTAACACAAATCATTGATCTCAAACGTTCATGTGGTAAACACAAGAAGGACGAGTAGCTCTAGGAATATATTGTAGACAAATCTCTCTCGCATCCCCCTAACTCCACCCTCTCGCTCTCTATCTAGCTCTCTCCCTCGCTCTCTCTCTCCCTCCTCCCTCTCGCTTGCATGAGCTCTTTGAAAACAGAAGACACTTCTGTTATGGCCAAAATTAAGAGTTGGAATTATGTTTATGTCAAAACTTTAATTTTTGTGCCAAACTAAATTGGTCTACATTTTGGGACAGTTAGCTCCAGCCAGGGGCCAAGGGAAGTAATTCTATCAGTTGACACAGGGCTAGAGATGTGAGCACATGGTCAGCTCGACTCAATGGTGTTAGATGTAGATTTGGATTTGGAGTGATGGCTCTATATGTTTAAGGATTTGAGGACCTGCATCATCATAATTATTAATGTCGGTCATTCAAGGACTGATGAAGAATAAAAGTCAAGTCAACTGTATTGAAGGTATTGGCATTTTTTGTTGAAGAAGTACATGACATGTGACTTTGAAGTTGAATGGAATTTGAACTGAGTATAGACTTGTTAAGAACTGAGCAAAGGATTTGGAAACTACAACTTCTTTGATTGTATTGGTGATTACGGTTGTCGTAGAGACAGAGATTTGATAGTACAGTTGCTGTACCCAGGATATTTGGAATCCAGTACTGTAGAGGCATGGTCATGCCGCCTTAGGAGTCGTATCAAAAGTAGACATTACTGATGTATTGTTTTGTTACGTTTCTTTCTCAATTGGATACTGGCTTACATGTTGAAGTATTTTGTATGTCACTCATACCAGGCTCTTTGATCAAACAGTATTAATGAAGTGATACTTATATGCATTTATGATGTCCGATCTGTGATGCAGAATCCTGTCGATACTTTCTGGTGTGTCGCCCCAACAGGAACCAGTTAACAGTGCATTCGGTTTTATACAAGGTTTTAAATGTTTTAGGTGTAAAGTCGGATTGGAATTCAGGATCAGTTATGAAAATAGGACAAATATTGCCATTTGTGTGCCAAATGAACAAGTACCGCATTGAGGAATTTGTTCTTCAGACTTGTTGCATTTGTTCAATGATATTTTTCTGAATGAAACATTTTCTGATGTAATAGAAGTTGGGTTCATGTTCAACAGGTTGAAATCATGAGGATAAGGATTAACCGAGGGCAGCAGTCGGAACCCCATGTTGTAACATTCAGGAAACGAGGTCACTATTTATTTGAATTCGACATAGTTAGAAATGTGACAGGTGTGTTCCTGGGTTATGGTGATGGGATTCCGGAGATTTAATAGCTGTCACCTTATACTAACAGACAACAAGGAATAATATGACGGCAAATGTTTATTTGGTTTCAACTATGTCCATTCGTTTTTATGATGACCAATGTACAAAGGTTCTGAGTTTAAGTTTAAGGCAAGTTTACATAAAAAACTTTCAGTTATGCTACTTTTCATCATATAAAGTGTTTGTCAAGAAGTTTTATGTTCAAAACAGTACAGATATCAGAAGTAACTATCTTATTTTTTTTGCGTTATATCGATTCATACTTTGTACATTTACCGAGAGTCTTATTTCCATTAAAACCACCATGACTCATGTCTAGGTCACCTGATCAGTCAGATCGCATGATCTGCCAGGTCACATGATCAACAAGGTCACATGATTAGCCGGGTCATGTATAGATTCAATTCGCTTCTCGTAAGTCGACTTTTACGACACGCTTTTGAAGCAGGGGACTCTACATGCATGTGTTTTGGAGGCTTGACACTTTGAACATTGGCACGGTATTTTTCAGGAAACAGGTATGCCGAATCCTCTTCGGTGTATCCCTTGTCCTGTATTAAATACAAATCAAAGTATGAAATATTTTTATCAAGTATCAATTATTCCCTACATTCATGCATGAAGGTAACATTGCATGATGCATATTCCTATTGGTTGCATGTGTCCCGCTCAATACTCCGAACATTCTATTCTATATACATGCATTTCAAAATGTTCTCAATCTTTGATTGTTGGAACCTACCCTTGAGTATAATATATCTTTAAGAAACAAAAACAATTCTTGTTAAGAAAATATCTACTTTGTAACAGAATCAGCTGTCTGTGTAATATCAACTGACTGCACAACAACCGCTTACCAGGCTATCAACATCTGAAACTGTCACTCTGAGAACCACGTCTCCAATTGGCCTGGGCTCGAGAATGGTCTCTTCATAACTGACGGGGTTGAAGATGGGTGGGTTCAGGTTCCGGTTGATGGTGAGTTCAACAAGGGCAATGTCGTACAGTTTGGGACTGCCATTGTCCTCAGCTCGAACATAAATCTGTAATGGTTTACATAGTTCATATATATAAGCCACCTTTGTTGAGGAGACTGCGGAACATACATTTTCAAACAATGGCTCTCGTCATGTGAAAGTTTAAATATATATGCTTAAAACATGCAGGCATAATTTGCATGTCATTTGTAGATTGGTTTCTGACTGAAACACAGTTACCTGACAGAACAAACATAAGCTTCATTTACCCCAATACTGTATATACATGTCTGTATCATAAATTGTTACTATGTATATGTGACAAATAGTCTGGTTTAAAATTTGGTGTTATGACTTTTCTATTTGTAAATAACACCGTAATGAAGAAATATGTATTATAAGAAACTCCTTTAGACTGTGCAATTAAAGTATGTATGTACGCCTGAAACAATACCGATGCCACATAAAACATCAACTAAAATCAACTCAATATATATGACAATAACCCTTGCTCCTTAATAGTAGTCAAACTAACAAAACTAATGTACTGTAAACTCTTCTTTGTTGATGTAATGTACATCATTAGTTTCATCATATCAGGGTATATGATACTCAACTTATACTTTCCAACTCACTTGGATATTTGATGAGTCGACTCTTTGACTCGACCGTCATTACACGTACTTATACCACTAGGGGGCGTTATGGCCATGGTGAGTTGTGGTATATCCTTGGCTCACATTTACGCTTACCTGTGGGATTTTATTGACTTACCTGATACAATGGATACTGTACCAGAAAAAGGTATAATGCAATTAACTGAAGAAAAAACCCAATATGAACAAAATGATGGTGAGTGTCATTCCAAAGTAATGCCAGTATCTGTAAATTGAGAAAATGCTTGGATCAGTAATTAACGACAAAACAATGATCTGTGAAACAACTGTGTCAAAAGCTGTGTTTGTTAAAATCGCTGTGTATAAGTAAAGCAGAAAGCACCGAAGCCCTTGATTTGTTCAAGATCACCAGGTTTAGTTCAAAGCAGTGTCTAAGTAAAACATAAAGTCACAAAGCCCTTGATTCATTCAGGATGACCAGGTTTAGTTTAAGGAGCTTGATGTAGTTTAAAGGGAAGTATATAAGTAAAACAAAGAGTGTAAAACAAAACTGCATCATAATGTAGTATTATGAACATGATTACCCTTCGAAATTTGATGTTGCACAAGAAAAATACCAACGATACATGTATAAATAAACAAAATAATAAGTATATCATCACAGACACACACACATCCATCCAACTCATTCATTGACAGTTACCGGACCCGAGAAGCGGTGAGGGACATATAGAATGGACTTAATGGATTCAAAGTTTCACTGCACATAGTAAAGGTCGATCGCTTATATGAGAATATACAAACAACTAAAATTAATTTCATCATCAATAGAAAGTAACATTAAAGCGTCTGTATAACAAAGTGTTCATTTAGAATGCAAATATTCATAGGATACATTTTGCAATTTTGAGACTTAGTTATATAAACCCAATAGTAACACATATAAACCAGAAAGTATGGCGCATTGAAGTATTTAGTTATAGTGACTGTGTAAATTACATTGCTGAACATAAACCCGAATGCCTTTGAGGCAATTACCCCAGAACTCATATGATATACATCAAGTGATGTAGGTCTTACTGCTTCCACCCCAGTACGGTGGCAGAGGCTCCTGACAACAGAGGGAAGCTCTGGGTGACATGGAATTGGTATCATTGGGTGGCTGCAGCGTTGTATTTCTGTCCACGGTGATTTCGATTCTGGCAGGCGGATTAGCCCTTAGTCCACCTCCATCTACTGCGTCAACAACAATCTGGGAAAATGACGAATTAATATTGCTATGAAACTGCAATCTATGACATCTGTTTGGATATTAATTATTAATCACAACTTCCATCAGCAGAGCCGATGGGCAAGGTATGTGTCAGGCAAGCAATGGTGGTGGTTCCTTTACAGGGACATATGGAGGGGTGGGTGATACAACTCAGGAATACCACTGTTGTTCTATTAATGGAAGCGACAAATCCCTTTCCACGCCCACAAGAAAGAGTCGAATGTATATTTGTGTATATTATATTATATAGTATATTTTTGGTTCAGTGGTATTACAGCCATACGATGTTGACTAAACAAATCGAATCTGGATAAGGCAATACAGTGATTGTCACCAATGCGATACGATGTAGCATGTGTTTATGAATCACTATGAAATAGTGATGATACCAGGTGTATCCTCCCAAGTCTAGGCTACTGTTCACCTGAAATAATTCGTGAACGTATGGTATAAGTCAAACTAGGGATTTGCATCGGACGTCTTTTTTGTCACTTATGCATCAAATTTGGAAATGTCCTCCACATGTATACCATAAGCTTTACTGAGGCCTTGAATGTTGTAACCTTGATCCAAGCAACTTCTCAGCAAGAGTGGTATGACGCTCTTTGAAATCCTGATTGTACCACAAAAGTTGTGAAATGTAAACACCAAAGGCTGGAGTTGTTGGACTATTGCTCGACATGAAAGGTAAGTTGACTATTGTAAAGTTAACTTCTATGAGAGGCATTTTAGAAGTTGTATAGGTGTAGGAAAACCAAGTTCTTTGGATAGTCAACTTCTTTATTGCAATGAGTGCGACGTTTCGGTGTAGGTACTAACACCGTTATCAAGTCCATCCAAACCCTCCTCCAAGCCGCAGGCGAACCCCATCAACAACAAAAGAAGACCCCACAGGAGTAGTCTATCAGATCCATTGCCAATGTGGAGACTCTTATAGAGGTGAAACATCTCGCCCACTCCCACTACGAATTAAAGAGCACAAAACTTCAGTCCTGAAAAAAAGACTCCAAGTCCCCCATACCCGACCACACCCAAGCCAACCCTGACCATGCCATCCTTTGGAACAACATCCACATCCTGGAAACCAACCGAGCAGACTACAAGATTAGGAAAATTCTTGAAGCCATAAAAATTCAACGCTTCAACCCCACCATGAACGGTGATCAAATTTATTTTATCTCCTCGGCCTATCACCACCGAATTAGAGATCACTAGTAATCCACCCATACCTCGTCCAACTGGCTTCCATGCTCCATTTTGTGTATTGTCATCACAACCAATCAATGTGTACATCAACCTACTCTCTTCAACCCACGATTACTATCTCAGTGGACATCAACTCATCATTGTATAAACTCATTCTGCATATTGTTTTATCATTATCACTCTGTACATCAACCTACTCTGCCCAAATCACTAATTAGCAATCCAGTGTATATCAACCTTGTCAATTGTATATACTCACTATGCAGCTATGTATATATTCTCCTTGTTACAACTTTTGGTATCGCTTGCTTGACAACGGTGTTAGTACCTACACCGAAACGTCGCACGCATTTCAATAAAGAAGTTGACTATCCATACAACTTGGTTTTCCTATTGTAAAGTTGACATCATCCCTTTTGTCATACATCCTTGTGGGGAGTATTTTTTTGTCACCCTGAAGCTTTATGCATAGACCTAATATGGAACATTTGGGGCGGTCTCACCTGTCTCCTTAATTTCAAGTTCAGGTGGGTAAATTGGCTATTTGACGGTTATTGAACGATAATACCATAACTGATCAGAATGATATGATATGGATATATTCTTCCCTTGACTTAAATTGACGGAAATGAATACATGATCTCTTAACTTTACAATGATATTAAGAATTTGCCGAATGGTATTTATTTCTCACAGTGATGTTTCTTCCCGCTTTCCTCCACGTTGAATGATTCAACTCACCGTGTATACTCCAGTGTAGCTTGTGTCCGATTCCAGAAAGCACCTGAGGCTGACTGCGCCAGTGTTCCGGTCCACCATGAAGTACAGTCGTCCAGTAGTACTGGAAAGAAGGTTGTTGACCTCATACTGCACAGTGTTGTACGGGGCCTGGGTGCAGACAGAGATTGAAATGTCAATGAGTTCTATGTGCACATTTACATGTTTATGTAAGAAGTTTTACCTATGACACCAACTTCTTGTAACACCCGTCGATGGTGAATTTGGGCTTCGTAAATACTCATCGATCACCAAAGTCAAGTTCACAAACTGGCAACCCATTTTATCAACACAACCAAACCGGTTGTTTGTATAGAGACCAATCACAACCATGGCAGTTATGAATGTTAGGACTTAAGCAAGATCAAGTGTGTACATCCTGACCCCATCCAACATAGGAGACAAAACCCTTTCCATACGCCTAAATATAGACACCAGTTATTACGTCTATTATTTGCTGCTTATTGAATTTCAGTCAGCAGTGACAAATACTTCTGATCTGATGATAAAACTCAGGGACTCAGGTCCACCAGTAGTAACATCGACCCAGATAGTGATCTGTTTTCTCCTACTATGTTATGGAGTTCAAAAGATTTGAACATTTAAGCTCAAATCCAAACACGTCGTTGTTTTAAATGGTTTGTTCCGGGTCACCGAGAACTTTTGGAAACAACTCTTGAACCAATATATTAATTTGTCTTGTTTCAACATAAAATAGCATTTTCCACTGAGATTCTCAAATCAATCTGTTCTAAGTGTCCGAATGAATAAGACGATTGTGTCATTAAGGACGCAACCTTAACAAATGTCACAAGATATATCATGCAACATATGCACTAAATTCAGAATTCCAGATAATTATTAAAAACAACAACTGAACAAAGAACATATGTAACAGAAACATATGTATATGTTACAGGAAACAACTTCACTACAACTGAAACATAACATTAAGAAACAAATAATAACATAGTAGCCATTTTGTTACCTTGCTGTCACCATCAGTAGCAGTCACTTGGAAGATGGACAATCCCAATGACTGAGTCTCGAAAATGGTGATGTTGTAATTAATTGGATCAAAGCGAGGAGCAAAGAGATTCCTGTTGACTGTGATGCGAACAGTGGTCGTGTCGGACTTGCTAGGAATACCTCCATCAGTCGCCCGGACTGTCACCTTGGGATCACAATATTTTTAGACATGATTTACTTTCAGAATAAACATAGATATTACCGCTCGAGTGACTGTCAGATACCATTGATCTTCCAACGAGTTGTTTCAAGGTGTATTTAACTGGCGAAATCGAGTTAGAAACGTTTTGAAACATCGAGTTGTAAGATGAATGGTACCTGTGAGACACGAGTAAAGTAATCTTTTTCTCACACACTATAAAATCTCACCATTGTATTGTCAAATGGATTAATATTTTCCCGTTGTGGTTCAACAATACACAACACAACGTTTATGAATGGATGACGACATTTAGCTTCCTAATCACTAGTAACTGCCAAGGTGACCTTTCATAAAATGTGCTTGCCATATCTTCACGTTATCAAGGTGACAATAATAATGAAAACTAGATAAGATCACAGAAAATTAATTAAAAACACCAAAACAATGATGTCACTATGTAAATGGATGTGATTTTACTTCTTGATAGCATAACATTGAGCGTGTGACGTCATCGTCATTGTTTGGTGGCTGTCGTCATTGGAAGATTGTTTGGATATCTTTGCACACTGGGGACCTTGTGTACCAGATTACGTTCAATATTCTCATATAAAGCGAAGCCAAACTGCTGAGGTTACGTTCACTATCAATTGGGGACTACTCTTCCTCGCCACAGTCTTCTCGTTTTCCCGAGCCAGAAACTGCCACTAGGAATGTTACTGATGTTACGGTGTTGCCTGTATGGTTAGGTATTGCCTGTGCATGGGGCTTACTATGTATCTGTTCTGTGTGGTAGGATCTTCAGACACACGCCTACTGACTGTGATCAGACCTGTGAAGGGGTGAACTGTGAAGTAGTCATTGGCAGCACGGCTTCCGTCACTCAGGCTGAACATGATTTGATTCTCTGGGGCCTGTTAAAATCATAGTACATCACCTGAGGCTCAGGACAAAAATGGCATTTCAAATTTTTAAGTTTATAAGATTGAGGAAATGAAGTGGCTAAACCTTGAAATTTTAAATCAATATAACTTTTCAATTATCACAATTAAATGGATTATTGTACTCACCAATGGATCACTGTCAGTGGCAGTGACAGCAAGAACACTTGTTCCTTTAGGATCATAGTCATTGATGGTAGCTGTGTACTGAGTTGGTGAAAATCGTGGGCTGGCGAGATTGCGTTCAACATTGATCTTTGCAGTAGTATAAGACACTTCACTTGGGTTACCAGAGTCAAAGCACTTCGCCAGGAGCTTTAATGAGACGAGGAAGCAAGAAGTCTTTTTTCAATTCTCAGAACATGACAACTTTTGTTCAAGAAAATATTACATATTCTGTTAAAAAAAGTAAAGCTTTAAAACAAAGCTTACCACATAACTAACATCAGGTTGTGGGTTGAGAGTCAGGTTGGCCCGAACTGTGATGGCATGTGTGACATTGTTAAGATCAAAGTAGGTTTGTCCAGGTTCGTACCCCTCAAGTTGGCAAACAATGGTTCCCTGTGTATAAAAGATTCAAATTATGGAAACAGTATATATTACAAACATTCACATAATAAAACATACTGTAGCAAATCAGATTACTAAGCACAGAAGTAAAATGAATGTTCCTTTTACAGGATAGTGGAACACACTTTGAATTAACTAGACAAAATATACATTAAGCAACTTCGGTACAAACAGTTGAAATGTTAAGTCATGACTGATTTGTGAACATACCACGCGATCAGGATCATTGACGGAGAGCGAGAGTACACGAGTTCCAACAGGCTGTGTGACTGGGATTCTAGTTTCATATGGTGTATTGCTGAACACAGGTGGGCCACTGTTCTTTGTCACTGTTATCCTCACAATATCATCACCAGTTTTTCCACGACCATCAGAAACTCGCACGGGGATCTGTAATGAGCAAATTCAAATAATAAAAGGCTTCGGTTGTGTACTTAAAAAAGTAATATAACATAACAAGATCACAGTGTTTACGTTAACATGAACTTTCCTCACTAATGTGAGGCTGGATCGAAGCATTTCATTTGTTAAATTATCCTTAATTATTTTGAACAGATCACTTCAATCAATCACAAGCTTTACAACATAAAAAGTCCATGTAACTCATGCTTGTATATAACTGAACTGGATCTGACCAACAAGTGATTGCTAATTGAAGCACATAGCACAATCAAGTTACGATGATGCAGAATTAACCAAATCATTGACTCTGATCAACTGATCATAATAGTTGTCTCTTAAGGCAAGAGTTACTTGGGTTACTTGGGACCAATTAGATTCTGGAATCTATACAATAATGAAATCTGATAACTTAGTCCTAATGAAATCCTAATTTATACAGCAAAACACGACTCTCTGAACATGATAAAAAGTCAAACAGATTCATCACCTAACCAAGAGTTTCTAATATCATCCTACCTCAAATGATGTGCGGTCAGTTGATCTCAAGTCTTTCAGCAACACAACAACACCAGTTGTTGGGTTCACATAGTAAAAGCTCTGTGTCGGTACCTTGGTTGCTGAAGGTTACAATATCCTAGAAGAAAAAAATATCACGTTGTAACACTTCCTCTTTCACAGGTTCCTTTCTCAGATGTTTTAACTAAATTTAATAAAATCTGCAGACATTTCTAAATCTCCGAGTCAAATTTACCCCATCTGAGTCCTGTCCAGAGAGTTGAAAAACGGTGCTGCCCAGGGGGAATGTATCAGGAATGCTCCTTGAGTATGGGGTGTTGGTAAATGCTGGGAATGCAGGGTTGCGTCGGACATTGACGGTAAGCACATCCTCTGCCCTAGTGTCTGGCCAAGCTGTATCATAACACTGAATCCGTACCTATAAGTAACAAGTACATAATGACAGGCAAGAAACAAGTAAAGATTAAAGGTAAGAAACAAGTACAGATCGATAGGCAATAACAAGTACAGAATGATAGGCAAGGAACACATTTAGATTGATAGGATAGAAACAAGAACAGAATAATATGCAAGCAACAAGTACAGAACTAAAGGCAAGTAACAAGTACTGTCTTGTGTTTGCACTAAAAGCATGGTCAAGTGTTGTGGAGTCAAGTGCATTACAAATGACCTATATTATATTATTATTATTATTAATGACAGGTAAGTAACAAGTACAGATTGATAGGCAAGTAACAAGTACAGATCTATAGTCAAGTAACAAGAAGAGATCGATAGTCAAGTAACAAGTACAGAACAATAGGCAAGTAACAAGCTCAAACTGATAGGAAAGAAACAAGTACAAAATGACAGGCCAGTAACAAGTACAGATCGAATGCAAGAAAAAAAGTATGTAATGATAGGCAAGAAACCTGTCAAAGTAAGGGTCAAGTTAAGGCCTCGGCTTATCTATGACACTGGCTTATCTATTGTCATATACAGTACTGAATGACAGGCAAGTTTGGTTAAATATCTCCCAAGGTGTTACCCTTGAATGGATGTGTTCTAAATTATGTATTATTGTTCATGTACAAAATGAAGTAATATCAACCTTCCACAATGATATATCATCTTGTCTATGAAACTTCAAACAGTTTTCTCTAATCTCATGATAATTCTGTACAAGATGTATTAACTTATGGCAGTTGATTGGACAGTTCACATAACCATGCCTATAACACTTGACAAGTGATAAACACATCAACATGGAAAGAAGGATATATGACTGTACCTTTGGCAAAACAAAGAATTCTTACCTTGTATTCATCCCTGCTAATAGTATCAAGTTTTGGAGGGTTGTTGATCCTTACTTGTCCAGTAACACTATCAAAGGTGAAGAAAGTGGATGAAGGCCAATCTCCAATCATTCGGCATCGTATACTCCCCTATCACAAAGACAAAAAATTGACATACAATACATGAGAAATAAAGGACAAAAATGAAACACTGGTTAAATAAACACACAGCATAACACATTAGTATAACAAGAAGGCTGAGAAAGTATAACTATGTATTTGCTTTTTCAGCATTATTAAATGTTTCCACTACGTTGTGCCTGAATCATAACCAAGGTGAGGAAAAGAAAGAATGAAATTGTAACAGTATATTGTTATTTTTATAAAAAGATAAAGCTGACAGTCAACATACATCTAGATCTGCATCAAATGGATCGATGGTGTACACGAGATCTGTAGGTTGTGCAGACTCCTCAACTGTCACTGATGCAGGCAGGTTACGGATAATAGGAATGGCTGTGTCACGGGGAACATTTACTGTCACCACTGTTGTACCAGTTCGAGCAGGATTGCCATTGTCTTTAGCAATAATGGTGATCTGAAACAACACACACAGACAACAGTCATACTATTAGCATCTGTATAAGATATATTCATCATGGCAAAGAAAAGTATCAAGAATATGGTAATATAGCTTATAATATTTCCAAACTCACATCATATCTTGTTGTACGGTCAGTGTCTGTTGTCAAGTTCTTCTTCAGAGTCAGCAAACAAGTGCGAGAATCGACAGCAAAGAATTCTTGTGCCTTGGCAGTGCCACTGATCTCACAGGTTGTCATGGACTGTAAAATATAAAGGAGACATTCTCAACTATTATTCCGTTTCAATAGCCACATATATTTGATTTCCGTTTTAAGACATACAATCCCCCAGTAATAGCAAAATAAAGATGGTTAGTTTTTACATACACTATCCCTATCCGTGACATTGATCGGCCTGGACCAAGACTCTGTGCTGGTTGTCTCTGGCAAGTTCAGGCTAACGCTGGTAGGGCTGAACTCAGGGCCAAATCCATTTCTGTTTACAGTGATATGGACTGTCGAGGTGCTTCTCAGATCTGGGTACAGTGAATCGTAACCAGCCACCAGGAGCTGTTAATGGAAAATAGAAATATTGTGACACAAATAACAAAACTGAGTATGCTAGTATATTCACAAAATTATTACTTTCATACATCTGTATAATAGATTTTCAAAATGAAATGGGAAGGATAAAAAGGAAAAGTGAAATCCAGTACCTAGTAAATATGAAATGTTTTGTCTGAACATCTATGTACCTTGTATTCGCGGTTGCCATCTGGTCGCAGATCATTGATAATGGTAACTCTACCAGTGCGGTTATTGACGCCGAAGAACGTTGGGGCTGGGTATTCTCCAACAACCTCATACACCATGTTACCCTGAAAGAGAGAGAGAGAATATTCATTGTAACTTACTGTCATCAAACTTTGAGAATTTAGGACAAAAATGGCATTTCACATTTTTAATTTTATAAGATGGAGGAATCAATATAACTTTTCAATTATCACAATTAAATGGATTATTGTACTCACCAATGGATCAGTGGCAGTGACAGCAAGAACACTTGTTCCTTTAGGATCATAGTCATTGATGGTAGCTGTGTACTGAGTTGGTGAAAATCGTGGGCTGGCGAGATTGCGTTCAACATTGATCTTTGCAGTAGTATAAGACACTTCACTTGGGTTACCAGAGTCAAAGCACTTCGCCAGGAGCTTTAATGAGACGAGGAAGCAAGAAGTCTTTTCCAATTCTCAGAACATGACAATATTTGTGAGAGAAAATATTACATATTCTGTTCAAAGAAATAAAGCTTTAAAACAAGGCTTACCACATAACTGACATCAGGTTGTGGGTTGAGAGTCAGGTTGGCCCGAACTGTGATGGCATGTGTGACATTGTTAAGATCAAGGTAGGTTTGTCCAGGTTCGTACCCCTCAAGCTGGCAAACAATGGTTCCCTGTGTATAAAAGATTCAAATTATGGAAACAGTTTATATTACAAACATTCACATAATAAATCATACTGTAGCAAATCAGATTACTAAGCACAGAAGTAAAATGAATGTTCCTTTTACAGGATAGTGGAACACACTTTGAATTAACTAGACAAAATATACATTAAGCAACTTCGGTACAAACAGTTGAAATGTTAAGTCATGACTGATTTGTGAACATACCACGCGATCAGGATCATTGACGGAGAGCGAGAGTACACGAGTTCCAACAGGCTGTGTGACTGGGATTCTAGTTTCATATGGTGTATTGCTGAACACAGGTGGGCCACTGTTCTTTGTCACTGTTATCCTCACAATAGCATCACCACTTTTTCCACGACCATCAGAAACTCGCATGGGGATCTGTAATGAGCAAATTCAAATGGTAAAAGACCTGGGCTGTGTACTTAAAAATGTAATAAAACAACAAAATCACAATGTTTAAGTTAACATAAACTTTCCTCACTCATGTGAGGCTGGATCGAATCATTTCATTTGTTAAATTATCCTTAATTAGTTTGAACACATCACTTCAATCAATCACAAGCTTTAAAATATAAAAAGTCCATGTAACTCATGCTTGTATATAACTGAACTGGATCTGACCAACAAGTGATTGATAATTGAAGCACATAGCACAATCAAGTTACGATGATGCAGAATTAACCAAATCATTGACTCTGATCAACTGATCGTATTAGTTGTGTCTTAAAGGTCACATGCAACGTAAAACACAACTTTGCAGATTCTGATACCTTTTGGTATGGACTTACCGAAACAAAGCGTCAAAAATGCAAATTCAACTTATAAAGTTGAAAAATAACGCGATGAAAAAAACCGCGCGAAATCGGAGTTCAAACGTTTCACTAATGTTCCCCAGACTTTTCTGGGGAATACGGGTTTCAACAGCTGGGCTGCGCTCATAGCACGTGCGCAGTGAAATAGGTTCGCGCAACTTGGAAGCGGGCTGTCTGGTGAATACTCGGTGAAGGCTTTGGTGTGAGCTATTTTCATAATGTTTTGTTGATATCTCGCAGGCGCGAGCTTTTTTTATGTAATGACAGTAAATAAACTGTTTATATAATTTCATTTGTCTATTTCACCACACGTTCTTCTTACCGAGTCACTTTCTCAGTTCGATACTTAAAAGCAATGTCATTATTTAGCGTTGACACAATTTCTAACTGTGATATAGATATGTCGCTGTCACAGACTAAACTCAATGTCTTGTTTTATTGACACCTGTGTGTCTGCCTGCCTGTCCGCTAATGACAATATTCAATACACAACTGTGATCACTGACCACATGCAATTTGAACTTAGCACCAATCAGGCTATACACCATAAACAAAACGCATTGATTTATGGCCCGAGTTCAGTCTCTGTCACATTATGTAATTACACAGACAGGCAGGTGTGATACTTGAACACATGACATGTTATGATGTCTGTTGATTGCAAAATGTTATACACAAAAAAATGAGCATGTATTTACAAAACCCAACATCTCTATATAAACACACACAATTAGCCGTGAAGGCGGCATCTGCAAATGAACCAGCCGTTACACTTGAGTGCACACCCACCCGCTCTGACTGGGTTCGGTATCCCGGCTGCTTCGTTTCGAGGGGAGGTAAACCAAAGTACAAAATATTGCACTTTTGATTTGCGATTATACGCTTATAATTTTGTTTATTTGTTTTTTCATAATCAGCAATGCATATTATATGTCATGAAGAAGTGATAATTGTGTTTTAATTATGTTTGATTTTTTGGTTGCATGTGACCTTTAAGGCAAGAGTTACTTGGGTTACTTGGGGCCAGTTACATTCTGGAATCTATACAATAATGAAATCTGATAATATTCTTAATAAAATCTTCATACATCAAAACATGACTCTCTAAACATGACAAAAAGTCAAACAGATTCATCACCTAACCAAGAGTTTCTAACATCATCCTACCTCAAATGATGTGCGGTCAGTTGATCTCAAGTCTTTCAGCAACACAACAACACCAGTTGTTGGGTTCACATAGTAAAAGCTCTTGTCTGTGTCGGTACCTTGGTTGCTGAAGGTTACAATATCCTAGAAGAAAAAAAATATCGTGTTGTAACACTTCCTCTTTCACAGGTTCCTTTCTCAGATGATTTAACTAAATTTAATACAATCTGCAGACATTTCTAAATCTCCGAGTCAAATTTACCCCATCTGAGTCCTGTCCAGAGAGTTGAAATACGGTGCTGCCCAAGGGGAATGTATCAGGAATGCTCCTTGAGTATGGGGTGTTGGTAAATGCTGGGAATGCAGGGTTGCGTCGGACATTGACGGTAAGCACACTCTCTGCCCTATTATCTGGCCAAGCTGTATCATAACACTGAAATCGTACCTATAAGTAACAAGTACACAATGTCAGGCAAGAAACAAGTAAAGATTAAAGGCAAGAAACAAGTACAGATCGATAGGCAATAACAAGTACAGAATGATAGGCAAGGAACACATTTAGATTGATAGGCTAGAAACAAGTACAGAATAATATGCAAGCAACAAGTACAGAACTAAAGGCAAGTAACAAGTACTGTCTTGTGTTTTCACTAAAAGCATTGCCAAGTGTTGTGGAGTCAAGTGCATTACAAATGACCTATATTATATTAATATTATTATTATTAATGACATGCAAGTAACAAGTACAGATCGATAGGCAAGTAACAAGTACAGATCGATAGTCAAGTAACAAGAAGAGATCGATAGTCAAGTAACAAGTACAGAACAATAGACAAGTAACAAGCTTAAACTGATAGGTAAGAAACAAGTACAAAATGACAGGCCAGTAACAAGTACAGATCGAATGCAAGAAAAAAGTATGTAATGATAGGCAAGAGACCTGTCAAAGTAAGGGTCAAGTTATGGCCTCGGCTTATCTATGACACTGGCTTATCTGTTGTCATATACAGTACTGAATGACAGGCAAGTTTGGTTAAATATCTCCCAAGGTGTTACCCTTGAATGGATGTGTTCTAAATTATGTATTATTGTTCATGTACAAAATTAAGTAATATCAACCTTCCACAATGATACATCATTTTGTCTGTGAAACTTCAAACAGTTTTCTCTATCTAATCTCATGATAATTCTGTACAAGATGTATTAACTTATGGCAGCTGATTGGACAGTTCACATAACCATGAAAGAAACATTGAAAGAAGGATATATGACTGTACCTTTGGCAAAACAAAGAATCCTTACCTTGTATTCATCCCTGCTCATAGTATCAAGTTTTGGAGAGTTGTTGATCCTTACTTGTCCAGTAGCACTATCAAGGGTGAAGAAAGTTGATGAAGGCCAATCTCCAATCATTCGGCATCGTATACTCCCCTATCACAAAGACAAAAAATTGACATACAATACATGAGAAATAAAAAACAAAAATGAAACACTGGTTAAATAAACACACAGCTTAACACATTAGTATAACAAGAATGCTGAGAAAGTATAAATATGTATTTGCTTTTTCAGCATTATTAAATGTTTCCACTACGTTGTGCCTGAATCATAACCAAGGTGAGGAAAAGAAAGAATGAAATTGTAACAGTATATTGTTATTTTTATAAAAAGATAAAGCTGACAGTCAACATACATCTAGATCTGCATCAAATGGATCGATGGTGTACACGAGATCTGTAGGTTGTGCAGACTCCTCAACTGTCACTGATGCAGGCAGGTTACGGATAATAGGAATGGCTGTGTCACGGGGAACATTTACAGTCACCACTGTTGTACCAGTTCGAGCAGGATTACCATTGTCTTTAGCAATAATGGTGATCTGAAACAACACACACAGACAGCAGTCATACTATTAGCATCTGTATAAGATATATTCATCATGGCAAAGAAAAGTATCAAAAATATGGTAATATAGCTTATAATATTTCCAAACTCACATCATATCTTGTTGCACCGTCAGTGTCTGTTGTCAAGTTCTTCTTCAGAGTCAGCAAACAAGTGCGAGAATCGACAGCAAAGAATTCTTGTGCCTTGGCAGTGCCACTGATCTCACAGGTTGTCATGGACTGTAAAATATAAAGGAGACATTCTCAACTATTATTCCGTTTCAATAGCCACATATATTTGATTTCCGTTTTAAGACATACAATCCCCCAGTAATAGCAAAATAAAGATGGTTAGTTTTTACATACACTATCCCTATCCGTGACATTGATCGGCCTGGACCAAGACTCTGTGCTGGTTGTCTCTGGCAAGTTCAGGCTAACGCTGGTAGGGCTGAACTCAGGGCCAAATCCATTTCTGTTTACAGTGATATGGACTGTCGAGGTGCTTCTCAGATCTGGGTACAGTGAATCGTAACCAGCCACCAGGAGCTGTTAAAGGAAAATAGAAATATTGTGACACAAATAACAAAATTGAGTATGCTAGTATATTCACAAAATTATTACTTTCATACATCTGTATAATAGATTTTCAAAATGAAATGGGAAGGATAAAAAGGAAAAGTGAAATCCAGTACCTAGTAAATATGAAATGTTTTGTCTGAACATCTACGTACCTTGTATTCGCGGTTGCCATCTGATCGCAGATCATTGATAATGGCAACTCTACCAGTGCGGTTATTGACGCCGAAGAACGTTGGGGCTGGGTATTCTCCAACAACCTCATACACCATGTTACCCTGAAAGAGAGAGAGAGAATATTCATTGTAACTTACTCTCATCAAACTTTGAGAATTTATTGAACACATTTGAATGAATTAAAAAAGAAATTTTACAATATATCACAAACTTACTGGGGGATTCTTTGTGGCTTGTACATCAACAGCAAATGTACCAAGTGGGTTCTTCTCATCAACTGTGGCAGAATACTCATTCTGTGTAAACTGAGGGAACTGGATTGAGCCAACATTTACTACAAGTGTTGTAGTATCCACATTTGCAGTTGGGAAGCCATTGTCTGTTACTTGGATGCTACACTGAAACAGTGATTGAATTATTGGTAGACACTTCTAATGATTATCCTGATGACAGCATCAGTTCAAGCAGTTATAAAATATAAAGCTGCATAGCTGATAAAATTCCTTAAGAGTAATTCTTTGGTCTTGCCCACAATGATTATCAAGGGTTGTTTCCCATTTATGATGTTATTCATGTTCTCACATCAACTTAACACACAGTCATGCTTTCAACTCTTTTCGAAGAGTACTCTATGTTTACTTAAAATGCTTGCTCATTGATACAGAATGTTTTGACAGAATGAGTGAAGAGTTTATTTAACAAAGCTTATAACGTCGTAGGAAAATTTGACTTGATGCAAATCTTACAGGATTACAACTTTGTGAAATGCTTTGCGTGGTGATGATAAATCACACATCATGACATTATTCGTTACATGTGGCATGGGATGTTACTGCCCATTTGTATTCTTACTTCCTTTGGCCTCAGGAAACATGGATTAAGACAAGTTGTACCATCCCATCCTACCAAATGGCCATGTCATGATGCTGATTACAATTTAGATTGGGTAGGTGGCAAATTCTGGTGTTTTTCCGGAACTGTTTTCAACCAAAGTTTTGGCAGCAAAGTGTTTCACCATGGTCATTGTCACAGGCAAACATTATCAAATCGATATTCAAAGGGACAGAACGTTTGTAAGCGTATAAAACTATGCTTTGAGGGAAGTATTATCTTAATATATATCTTTAGGTGCAACCTATTTTTAAAAAAATGAAATAAAGAACTTTTATTGATAATGATTGATGAATTCTCCAGGTGTGTTGGATTTCAAAAATCAAAGGTCACAAACTGTCAAGGTTGTCCCTCTGTTGGAAAAAAGCAAGAAGGATTTATGCTAACTGTGAAACTTATAGTATGGTTACATATGCATTGGCTATTAACCAATCAAAAGTCTTCTAATGTATCTAAAGGATAATAATGGTGAGTCTGGAATTCAAACTCATGACAGTATGTAGCTTGTATCCAAAATGGATGCACTTCTGTAGTGCTAATCCATGAGGCTTTGACGACCAAGACACCAGTACAAACCATTTTTGTTAGTGAATGCAGGGCTGAAAATACTTTTTAGGAATTTCAAACTCAATTTAATTTCATCTTGATGGACAGCTCACAGTGAAACTTGGAGTAGTGGCCACAGGCAGATTCTTGCCAAGGAGGACTACACCAGTGTCAGGATTCATGTAGAAGGTTTCCTGGCATCGCGCATCTCCAGTGATGTTGAAAGTCAACTTGTCCTGAACACAATAATATACAAACATACGTTAAACAAGTGGAGACATGCAAGCATTAAACAAAAGTCAGAAGATAACAAATCCCCTACAAATTCAAATGAACAAATCATCTGCTTGTATTCCTATCAAATCTGTCAGTCTATACACGATTTGTGCTCAGTTTCATGAACGATTACAAAGTAGTTTAGAAGATAAAGTCCAAAGAGACACTCAAACACAGCAGTCTGATGCAGTCAGTGGAAATGGAAAAAAATATAAAACCAAAGAATTCTTAAATAGCAAAAGGCACCGTTTGACAACCTGACAGGATACCCATTAGTTTAAAGAACCACTAAACTTTGTTTTGTTACTCTTTTAACCATTACATATGAAAGATTTGTGGTTAGTCTTATGCGGAACACCAAATTTATTCTTTAAAAACTTGTGGTTAATTAATACCGAGCGATTAAAAGTGGCCAAAAAGTCGCCTGCTTCCCTCTCGCCCGCCAACGAAACCACAGACAGGTTACGTAACTCTGTCGCCAGAGCACTGCAGTGACGTCATATGAGGAACGATTTTCAGTTAGTTGTATAGAAAGTGTGTAGCACGCTCATCATTTTGATGATTTCTCGACATGAACGACGACATGCCGAATCGTTGCTTTGTCGTCAATTGCTCCTAGGGGTCGGGTGATGGTGTCACCATGCACAGATTTCCACAGGACCCGCAGTTCGTGCTAAATGGGTTATGTTTGTGAGTGCGAAGCGAGCGTTGTGGAAGCCTGAAACGATATCTTACTTGTGTTCAGATCGCTTCACGGAAGTTAAAGAATCAAAACTACTTACTAGTTATAGTAAAATATGTATATGATTGATGACCATAAAGATTTTCCATAACACAACTTGTAACATAACGATTTCTTCCTCGGAAGTGAGGTTGTGGTCGAAGTAACAATAATATTGTAAGTAGTATTATATTGACACCCACCTCGCTGCCAGGAGAGAAATTGTTATGTTATACGCTATGTCATGCAAAATCCTATTGGCCATCAATAAAATACATATTTTACTACCAGTAGAAAGTAGTTTTGATTTTGTAACTCGGTGAAAACAAACCTAAATAGCATTTATCCACAGACTGGCGGATGTTCCCGACAGAAGTCGCCGCCATTTTGAAAATCGTAAAGTCTGTTAGAATTAATGAGATTATAGTTTGTTTTCATCAAGTTAGAAAATCAAAACTACTTTCTACTCGTAGTTAAATATGTATTGGAATCATAACCAAACGGATTTTGCATGACACAACTTATAACATAACGATTTCTTCCACGGAAGCGAGGTGGGGGTCGAAGTCACAATACTGCGCGATAAATTTCTTGCTACATTCACATGGTTAATGTCCACTCACCAGTATGTAGATACTAGTCAATGTGCGTCTTTATATTTGGTCTTATAATCCTAATTAGTTTATTATCATACTTTATGCATTTTGAAACTAAATAAAAGCTGACGATCTGCTGATACTTATAGTGAATTTATAACAGAACTGTAATATCTAGACATTTTATAGTTTGCCAATGTGAATCATAATTCGCACACACCCTAGTGTATGTTGTCTGTCTCATTACACTTCACGGCGAAAACAATGATTCTGTTGAATGCTACGACAAATGATTAAAAACAAAATGCAAATATTAAAATTAAAACAGATTAAAGTTATAGGAACAATATCAGGCCATTACCTTGTTTGAGGAATGTATCCATCAATATCCACAAAACTGTTCCAAATGATGTGTCTTTTAACAGTTTAATATACGAAAAAGTGATAAATCTTTTCAGGTATTGGTGTATAGTCTCATTGGTCACCCAAGATAGCACACCTGGCAACTAATTGCATAATGTCCGCCTTTCATTAAAACAGTAATTTAGTTAGCCAATAATGGGCAATCAATCAATGTATTGCCGGTTAATCCTTTGAAAGAAGGACGTTGTTTTTACGCAGACACCGACACGGCAGAGTGTATTCAGTATAGATTAGTAAATCTACATACATAAACACTACCTTTTGACAATTCCGCTGTGTAAGATAAAAGTAATTAATCAATCAGCGTGTTATCGGTTAATCCTTTGATCGATGTTCATAATGTTGAATATTTACTCCAGACACAAGAAATGCCAAATGGGAACCTTTGTCGGGTAATCTAAGTGTGTTACCACTAATTATACCTGTTATAAATTCATTAACTGACCATCAAGTGAATGATGACAAATAACATGTGTAGGTTTATACCACCTAACACGGGTTACAACAAGGGAGTATTAATTGCTGTATTGCATGTGAAAACTTATGGGCCGACACTGTGTTGAGAATACAAACAGATTTTTACATGACATGATTAAATATCGAGGTAAAAAAACACAGAAATGGGATCAATTTGGATCAGTCATTATACAAATAGGGCCTAACGACACCAATCAATTGTGACAGAAGCGTCTATGAAAACAAGTTGTAACTCGGAAACTAGGCAAAGCAGGAGACAAAATTAAATGCCAGTAGATTGTGAGAACATATAGCTTTCATTTTCCACAACAATTGTCACGATTTCAGGTTTATACAAGCCTGTAAACAAGATAATTTACCCCTAAAATGTAGATGAATTCTGCATCGGCCCTCAAAGCTATTCCTCATATGACGTCACAGAGTCGCGCCGCTCTGATTGGTTGAAATTTCGTTCGCGGGTGAGAATTGTGCACTGTTGTCAAAAGGTCGATTTAAGTCAATTAAAGGTCGAAATGAGTAGTTTTAATGACGGGGTTTCATTTATAACGATGCCAGTTAGTGATTTATGTATTATTACCCCTAGGGTTTATGTGACCTTTAAGGTGAACTGGCAGTTAGGACTATGACGTCGTCACTATGACGTCATAACTGAGTTATGACGTCACAATGCAAGTGACATCACAGTACACTAGGGAGAGTACTGTATAAGTGAGTTTGAAGAGTTAATTACATAATGATGAAAATTCATGCTAAATAATAAACATTGGTACAAATGTAAGCCTAAATAAGCTGATATGCACAGGAGGAACTGTTCTGATAAATAAAATGTAGAATTAGTGTGAACTATCTAAAATAAATAAACTAACTTATACAGTACTCTCCCTAGTGTACTGTGATGTCACTTGCATTGTGACGTCATAACTCAGTTATGACGTCATAGTGACGACGTCATAGTCCTAACTGCCAGTTCACCTGATGAAGGGACCTGGAATGGTCTCGAAACGTCGTGAGAGAAATTAAAAAAGAAGTTTAATCCATAAAAATATCTTGGACATCAATGTACAACTTCTAAATGCCACTGAAAGACATTATGCTGTTTTTGTTCAAAATTAATTGAAAAGAATGGTGCAGCTCATCTAGAGCAATAGGTTTTCATAACAAAAGTACATTTTTTAAGAGAACAACCATACATTAAGGGAGGGAATGCATTTGGGTTGTTTGCACAGGTCAAACATGTGATAAAGCCAGACTGCTATTATACAACAAAAAATAATACTATTATAATAAACACTACAAGCACAAATGTCAGATTACTCAGGATATTTAAACAGCAATATACTAATAATTCTTTTATCATTCAATCACCCGAAACCTTCAACCTGGAAAGTAGTTTCTGATAAAACAATTTCAGAAAATCAAAGATGACAACAGGTTGCATCCTAGAATAAGCTTAACCATCTTATGGTTAGAAACTAAACCAACTTTCAGCTCACTCCATCAGGCGGTACTGGATAAGCAAAAAATGCAAATGGTTTAATAACTATGACTATGATAACAAGGGAGAATATGACATTACAATGAACCTTTCAGGCCCACTGGACTAAACTGGCGGGTTGTTAAAAGGTTCAATAAAGCACTGACAAAATCTCAAAGCAATTCAATATGTTAGTTCAAATAAAACAATGTATTCATAATGTACACATTAAAATTGATAGTAATACTTACAAACGCGCTACCATTACGGTCCTGTGTAGTACATAGTTATTATCTATCACAAGAGGATATGTACATAAGAGAATCCTGCATGGTCTGATCGGTTTTTCCTTGTAGCAGAGGCAGCCTTGGTATTTAAGGCTGACTGAGTTTGGTTTTACGCCACTTTTAGCAATATTCCAGCAACATCACGGCTGGGGACACCAGAAATGGGCTTCACACATTGTTCCCGTGTGGGGATTTGAACCCGGGTCTTCGGCGTGACGAGCCAACGCTTTAACCACTAGGCTACCCCACCGCCCCCGTATTTAAGGACTGGATTAATTAAGGACTGGGCTCATTAATTCATGAAGGCATGTATAGCCACTTATTGTGAGCACTACATAATAATAAACTGACTTTGTGCATTAATCATTGCTACTGCTTTCAGTAGCGTTGTTCAATGCTACTTTAGTATTGATCTTTGACAAAAGGAAAATTATAGGACCATAGATTCATAATAAAAAATTCATAAGCATCTTTAGAATTCTGTTGTAGTATAGTTAATGGTAACATGTCTAAATGACATGACAACTAGTTAAAGAAATACTTCTTGATATATCACAATATTGAATAACATTTGTTGTTACTTACACTATAGAAATTATCAGGTGCTGATGTGAGCGGAGCACGGACATGGATATCCCCAGTGTCAGGTTCAAGATAGAAGTACTTCAGAGTGTTGGTGAAGGCAGTTACCACACGATATGTCACTGTGTCCTGAAGGCAAGAACAGGTCATAGCAAAAGTACACTGCATCATGTCAAGAAACTGGTATTACGTAACACCACTTCTACAAACCCTGAAAGTAGCAAGATATCACATAACAGCCCATCTACATATTCTGAAATTAATCTAATTTTGCCCAAACACTTCACAGATCCTGAAGGTAACTCGGCAATAAATTGTGCTGTTCTATATATTCTTTATTTTTATAGATAATATATACCTCTGGACATGTATCCTGAACATTAAGGCCCTGTGGCTTTACAAATCATGAACACAATAAAGCTTTATATAACTATAGCTCTATATATACTAAAGAGAGCATGGCATATCAAGTCTTCATACCCTAAGTGCAGTACAATGCAAATTTATAACAAATATCTAATTAGCCTAAAGACATCAGGGTCTTGTAACAAACACTGCAAAAACTGATGATAACATACAACAGTATACTATAGTACTAACTAATCATTACAATGCATATCTTTTCAAAACACTACTGCATACTGAGACATAGACTTGCATTCCAACATCAAGGATATACACTGACAAATGATCATCAACATCCACTTTATAACATCCTCAGAACAACATTTTATTACTTTTTCATTGTAAGCTATACTTACTCCATCAAGATCAATTGCAGTGGTATTTTCAATCCTATCCCCAATTGGCGTGTTCACATCCACAGTTGTTTCATACTGATCAGTTGGAATGAAGCGTGGTGCATTGGGATCTCGCACCAGGCTAAGAAGAACGCTGGAGGATCCTCGGCGGGTAGGGTGTGCAGTATCGTAAGCAAATACTCGCAACTGAAACATTGGTTTACGCGACAAAATACATTAACGCAAAGACATACAATTTCTGAAAGTTCTAAGACTGGGTGGAAACACCACTCGTTTGTAACAGAAAACTACTCATTATTATCAGTATTTTGTGCGTCTAAGCTCAAACAAATCCCTGCGAAGACTTTGTGTGTTATTCAGCTTTAAATACTCAAGTTTGTCCATTGGAAAGATATCCTCATGTACTTACTGTGTAGCTGGACAGCTGAAGAGGCTCATTCTTGATGTCCTGTCGGAGCGATATTATTCCAGATGTGGAATTGATGCCAAAGAAGGACTCAGCTGGGTAGAGACCATCAATGCCATAACGAATATCACCCTGAAATATGAAAGATATATTAGTTTCAGTAAATCAATTTCCATCCATAACTGTAAAATATCTATCATTCTTCTTCAAGAAGTACCCACCTGTAGATCAGGATCAACTGCCTGGACAGTAATGACTGAGGTGCCAACAGTAAAGCTTTCCTGAATCGGTCGATTATATGGATTCTGGGTGAACTGTGGGGTGTCATCTAGATCCACTCGTATTTCGGCATATGTACTACTACTTCGGGGAGACACAAGTCTTTGATCCGTTGCTGAGATGGTAACCTGAAAAAAAAGATGTGATTATTAAGTTGTTTCTTCATCCTATAAGGTGTCTGCCTTTCTAAATTTCAATAAAAATGATTCCAATAATTCCATTTCAAATATTTTGTATGAATATACTTAAGACAGAACACTAGAAATACTAGGAGTGATGATGGTTATAGTTTACATTGTAGAGACTAATAGGGGTGGTGTAAACTGAACAAAATGATGTAATTATTAAGTTGTTTCTTCATCCTATAAGGTATCTGCCTTTCTAAATTTCAATAAAAATGATTCCAATAATTCATTTCAAATATTTTGTATGAATATACTTCAAACAGAACACTAGGAATACTAGGAGTGATGATGGTTATAGTTTACATTGTAGAGACTAATAGGGGTGGTGAAAACTGAACAAAATGATGCAATTATTAAGTTGTTTCTTCATCCTATAAGATATCTGCTTTTCTAATTTAAGACAAAAAGGATTCCATTAATACATTTCAAACATTTTGAACTAATGTACTTGAGACAGAGCACTAGAAATGCCTGGAGTCATGTTATATCTTACATTGTAGATCGTATTCGGGGTCCTCTCCATGGAACTCCTCAGATAGATGATTCCATCACGAGGGTCAATGTAAAACCCGCTGGCAAACTCATTTGTCGGGTTCACAAAGGAGTACAGTGGCACATCCTGAACAGAAGAAACATTAAGTGTTTATTGTTAATAAAATCTGTAAAAGTGAACGGAATCATGCATGCATCTATCAGATATTTTCTTTTAGCATTTATATCATGTCCAATTATACCAAAGAAACATGCTACATTTTAACCATAAAACATCAAATGTGATTAGCTGACAAGAAACGGTCTTACTACCCCATCCAGATCCACTGCTGTAGTGTTGAGGACCTCAGAACCTACAGTATAGTACTCAGAGATTGTTGTCTGATACGGTTGACGTAGGAAGCGCGGAGCGTTGGCATTCCTGATGACAGACACCGTCACATCAGCTGTTACACTTCGAGGTTTGTCCAACCTGTCATATGCTCGAACTTGGAACTGGTGAAGAAATACACATACTGATATAAGAAAGCATCATTGGCATTGTACAACACAATTTTTATTGTAAAAAGATAAAAAAGAAATAAAAAGGCAAAATACAGTATGGTATCAGGTCAAGCTGAGACTACTTACATTATACTGTGTGTTGGAATCAAAGAGAACACTGTTTTCCAGGGTGATGTTCCCAGATAAATCATCGAGGGCAAAGAAGGCAGGCCGGTTAACAAACTCATATACCACCTGGCTGCCGGGCTGAAACAGTCAAGACATCCGTTTAGAGGAAGGACTTATAACAAACAGGTCTTGTCTTTTGTTCATATCTCACATGCCTACTACCAAGGTCTTTGGTGTCACTGGTCAACACACAACATTTAACAGGTTAACAGCAGGCATTTGTTGGGTCTGTAGGTTCTGATACCGGCTGCCCTTAGTCCTCTTTGCAATTCGACGCCGATGACATCAAAGGCAAGAATCTGTCGCGCAGACGCAATCGTCAGGGGCATGGTCTTCCTATTCTTGGCTTGTTTGTTGTCCTACCTGATATTCTGAATCGTTGGACCAAGTTGCCACAGTATTATGGGAGCAATTGGATGTTTTTGCAACAGGGTCTGTTGTGCCCCATTTGCAGCATTCCTATGGCCCGCTAAACACGCAAATCAAGACGTTTTCTGGTTTAATGGTGAGCAAATTGCACAGCTGTTACAAGTATATGTATGAAGAAACCTCACAGCATAATAATTTGAGGGGAAAAAGATTAAATAGCACATCAAATCAGTTTTTAATAGGTGACATTTCAGTTAAATATAGCCACATACCAGGTTATCAGCATCTGAAGCTGTCACTCTGAGAACCACGTCTCCAACTGGCCTGTTGTCAAGAATGGTCACTCCATAGGTGACGGGGTTGAAGATGGGTGGGTTCAGGTTGATGGTGAGTTCAACAAGGGCAATGTCGTACAGTTTGGGACTGCCATTGTCCTCAGCTCGGACATATATCTGAAGATGTCACATTATAAGAAAGCCAGCAAATACAATGCAGATATACACATGGCTGAACGTACTGCAATACCTTTAAACCTTTATCACCATTTATATCCATCTCATAATTATCTTCGTTCATGTGATTTTGTGTAGCTATTCAGGCGCACTATACTTTGATTTTAGATATGTACGTGCTATGAACAAAGGTGAGCATCACGTGCAATACGTACCCGTTCATAAGCAAGCATACTGAACCGCAAAAGAAAAACCGTTTGTGCAAACTTTTGTTCTTACAAGGTGGTGTTTTTATTAGGAGAGTTTTGTTTTGTGAACATGTTTTTCAATCCAAATTGACAGTTATTACAAAAATCAGTGTGTTTACTGATGAAAAAGCACATCGACCAATCTCACCTAAAAAGGCAGATGTGGTAAATTGTTCCACATTACATTCGTAAAAATGGAAATGCAGGTGCATATACTGACAACCCCACTGATGAAAGCGAGTCCTAAGTTCGCCTGAAATCATTCTTGTTTTGTCACAATCGCCATACCATGACTAACGAGAGATCAGAGGAACTAAGCCTTGGGACGATTGTAAGTTGGATGGACTGCACGGAGCGCAGCCACTCATTTTAATGTTCATGTTAGGACAGTCTAGCGACTGCAGGATCGGTATCAGGCCACGAACAGCACCCAAGACCGTCGACGCAGTGGACGACGTTCAGTAACATCACAACGTCAAGACCGACCGGAAACAACGCGCCAGACCATTGGGACCCACAACAGACTCATTGGTGCCGATAAAGTGCGTCAAAGTTTGTGCGGAAGAAACCTCTGCTCTCACAGACCATATCGTTGTCTTGTTCCCACCGATCGTCACCGCCAAAACCGAATGCAAAGGGCAACTGAGGATCGAAATTGGCGCTATCGACAATGGACTTATGTGGTGTTTTTCTGATGAAGGCCGATATTGTGTTTCGACAGCCGATGGCAGACGGGGGATATGGAGAAGGTGTGGGAATTGTTTTCCAATGAGTGTATTGTTGACAGGGACAGGTCCCGTGGTGTTCCAGAATCTTGGTCCAGGATGAGGAAATGGCGCGACAGCTCCTCGCTATACTGACCCCATGCTGTACCACACTTTGGACGTTACAGAAATCACATCTTCCACCAAGACAACGCTCGTGCCCGCCGTGCCAGAGCAGCATTGAACTTCCTAAGACAACATGGCATCCTAATGGTACCGTTTTGGGTGCTTTTGTTTGTACAAAATGGTTTAACCATATTTGTCAAATTTGAACTCACCCCTCCGTCTGTTAAGCAGGTAGCAAAGGCACTGTAAGTCCCCATAGGCCCTAGTATGGTGATCTACCTTCAGTTGTTGGCTATGTATAGCCCATTTTTACATTGTAGTGTCCAAAAATGCTTTTCTACTTTTAAAATTATATGCTAGCTACTTTTAACTCCATCTGTGATATTCTAGTAGTTTTACTGTCCTTCGATGACAGGCTTTTACGTTATACATTTATTGATTTGAATATTGATATCAACTGTTCTCGTCACACGTCACGTTAAATTTTAACTCACTCACTCACTCCGTTTGTTAATTAGATCGAATCAAATGGTGTGCTCTAAGTAACCTCTCTCGGTTGGATGTTTCTTTTGCGGTTCAGTATATCAAGTTTCAGTAAAGTGTTCCTACAGTTCTAAAAATAAAAATTCAATTGACTGTGTTGTTGATGAGCAAATATGAGGTCTCTTCAACGGACAAATGCTCATAGATGGCAAACTATTGGTATGCAGAATGCTGACATGTTATTGAGGGCTATTGGCCAGAAAACAGCAAGCTAGTTAGGACTGTCAGCGTCTCGAATGACGTGTTAATACGAATGCCTTCCAAATTTGTCTAACAGAACGGTCCGAATTCTCATGTAATCGGCCGGGTATAAAACCAGACAACACATCACATGTTCGTCGCTATCCCAAGAGCACAAAACTTGGGGTGCAGATTGATGTCGCAGGAATTTTACGTTCACTGGTCGGACGAAAGTTGATTTCGTTTGTTCATCACTGATGGCCAAGCTGTGTTTGGCGCCGCAGAAACACTGCATATGCACAATGGAATGCCTTTGATCAAGTACCGTTTCGCGGGTGTTCATTGATAGTGTTAGGGTTCCTTTCACGTGACTGTAAACGTGACGATTAGGCAAAATCTGAATGGACAACGGAACATCACTGACATCCCTGACATACTAGACAGGGCTGTTGTACATTTCGATGACCATTCCTGAACACAAGGCGAGTCTTCACGGACGACAATGCGAAGCCACATCGTGCACGTGCTCTTGGTGATTTCGTACGTCGAGAGGCACTAGCAACTCTACCTTGCCCGTAAATAGTCCAGATCTCAATCTCCAAAGCTTGGTTGGGACGTTATTAGTCCAAGGGTGATCTTCCAGTACAAATCTCAATGTATTGGAATCTCTCCTTTATGAATGTTTGAATGATATCTTTTGTAAATAGATGAATGGCATTATAAACATGGTAGTATAAATTAGCAACTGCGATTTTTAGTGGCTGTTTCCTCAAAAGGGTTTAAAGTATCGTAAACTTATTGTCCTCCTGAGAAGATATGTAAGTCCTAACACTTCAAAAGTTAAATTTAAACTAACCAGATTTTTAAACGTAGTATTTTTATCATTTCAAATTATGGCTAAACTTTTCCTACAATCGCCAGCGGCTGACGGGATGGTGTAAATCCAACAAGGGTCCATGCAGGTAGCATAAATACTGTAAATTCCCATGGTCGCTAGTATGGTGATCTACCTTCAGTTGTTGGCGACCGATAGCTGGTTTGAATGTTGTCTTGTCTTCGTAAATAAAATAGTACTACATTTCCATGCTATTTTTAGACACAATCTGTGACACTCTAGTTATTTTACAGTCCTTCGATGTCTGATTAGTTAACAACTTATATTTATTGTGTATGCAAAACCTTTCTCGTCACTATATAGCTGAAATATTGCCGTGGAGTCCTTAACTTTTAAGCCACTCACTGACTCACTCACTCTTTTGAAATTTTCGTGGCTCAGCTTATGTGACAGTGAAAGTCTCAAGACAATAGGTGTGGAGTTCACATTGAAATAGTAAATGTTAAATTAACAGCTGAAAGTGATACTGAAACACAACTTCGGGTTTTTAGACTCACAATATGCTCTTCTTCTTTTTTACCCACTCACTCCTCAACTCATTAAGGCCGAGAGACGCATATATGGGGCAAATTAATCAGCTCCTCACAGCGAGTGACGTGTTTATGGGGCATGTAATTAGCAGTTTCTCACAGCGAGAGCCACATACAGTCGTCAACAGAAAGCACCTCTTATTCAGCGAGAAACGCACATGTGTGTTGTACTTTTAAAAATCGCACTGTACCTATTATTTCAACCAATTTAGCAGTACTGAGCAAATGTTAGCTTTTCTTACGAGAGATCCCACCTTTAGTATCAATCAGAAGAAGTATTTAAAGTGTTTTGATAACAATTGCTAATCATTATCATAGGCTTGTACAGCGTTTAGCAAATGAACGCATGTCGGCGAGAAAGGGGATTATGATGTTTTACAGAGGTAGGGTGCCTGGTACTCTTCCTTGGGAATGGATACTAAAATACTTCGTATGCACAGCAGATTGAATTAGATGTAATGGTTTAGAGGTTACTAAAGATTATATTTCCTGCAACTACCTAATAAATAGGAAACAATATACGAAATTTCAAGGACATACAAAGAATTCAAACACAATAGAATAGTTTGAATTTACTTTTTAGGCATCATTACGTTGTCATGTTTCATATACTGAAACATAATGTATAAACACAAGTAATTATACATCCAAGCTCGAATAGATTAAACATAATTGAAATTACTAATTTGAAGTTTACTAAATTGTAACTAGTTGTTTTCCATATAAAGCGAATATAAAGTGATAAGTCGCGCCTTTGCATCGAATACATACATACATGTCAGTGTTATTACAACAATGAAATGTTTTACTACGTTTGTTACAAAAGACAGTAAGTTGGTAATTCAAAACATTGTCACACATGGACAGAAGTAATATCATAAGTTATTACATGTAAGCCATACAAAGGTATTTCAAGCATTTTTGTTCAAGCTGTTGAAAGTTCCATGTTGATTTGAATTGTCAGTTTTCTATGCAATTTACATGAGCATTCTGTAAAACGTTTGTATTTGATCTGTGTAATTATCAAATCCGGTGCAATTATCACGTGTATCAATCAACTCAGTCTCTATTGATCCATCGTCAGTAAAGCTGGATAGTATATCAGTTACGGTATCGATACACATGCGTATAATCATTCAAGCAGATTTCAGTAATAAGATAATTGAAAGCCTCTTTCGACCTTGAAATAACAGCCTCCGGTAGAATGGATATGTAGTTACGTCCTTGTTGAAAGGTTTGTCCCGTGACAAGTGTAAAATAAACAGATGCGCTGTTATATCATTGGACATCTTGCTTTATGGAGTCACGCCCCTCTCTGTGATGTTTATACATGCATGCACATCTGTAATCTTATGAACCTCGTTTGCATTCAGTAAAGATATAGGCACACCCACCTTCATAAATATTGTGTGTGTGTGTGTGTGTGTGTGTGTGTGTGTGTGTGTGTGTGTGTGTGTGTGTGTGTGTGTGTGTGTGTGTGTGTGTGTGTGTGTGTGTGTGTGTGTGTGTGTGTCAACTGCAAGTTTATACACTATAATAATTCAGTATAGTGTCACCTCGTGAATTCTGTAATGCGTGTACTCTAGTTTGGATAGTCATTCGTATCAAGGTGAAGATTATATTTACATGTACAGCAAACCATTATGTTTTATGTACTAGTTGTGTGCATAAAATGTATATGAAAATAAATACTACCTCCACTCAGTGGTTGGATTTCAATCGCTTTGTTTTACTTATCGAAAAACACTAAAATGAGGACAAATAAACTCGCCAAAGTGACTATCTACTCCTATTTGTCTTATGTGTGTATTTCATACATCGTTACCAGTGTGTATGTTTACAATACACAAACCGTCACCTGTCCTTTCCTCTGTGACAGGTATCTCATGATACGATTTCTCGCAGATAACATATGACCAGCCACTATGCTGAACAGTTGAGATACCAGTGTGTATGTTTACAATACACAAACTGTTACATGATAGCTTGAGTTGATAAAGCCGAAACCCAGCATATTGACTGGCCAACAATATAGCCAATAACCAATCTCTATCCAAGCTGCTGAGTGACCAAACGTGCTCTTCAGAAATTTCGCCCACGCCCCATCACCTGTCCTTTCCTCTGCGACAGGTATCTCATGATACGATTGGTCGCAGATAACATATGACCAGCCACTACATTGAACAGTTGAGATACCGAACGTTCTATTCGGGAAACTTGATGACGCCCTATCACGTGACTCTTTGTTTTATGTCTATGCAAGGGAATATGTAGTATACATTTTGTATATGTATGTTTGTATGGTCACGTATGTTTTCTGCATTAAATCTGTATGAAATAACGTGCAATGCTATGATATGTGCTTTTGTGCTAGTCACAGACTAGCGTTATAGTACTTTCATTAAAATAATTCGTAAACACTAGAAATGTATCGGCAAAACCGCTATTTTCGTCGAAGATTATAAAGTATGAAAGTAAATTCTTCTTTACAGTATGTCATTGTCATAGATGTTTTGTAAATTTAAACCTCACACATTAATATAAGAGAGAGAATTTGTTAACGTGTGTCTCATCTGTTTCATACAAAGAATACATGTGTATGCATATTGTGATAAAATATAAATGCACAAGCCGACAAAAGGTCTACAAGGGAAACTTGCAATAAAATACATAAAGCTTACATAAAGGTGTATTCACACCTGATTTCTTTCAACATATATCTTTACGACACAATTAAACAATCAGGACTTGTTTGTACGACTAGACAGTTTCCTGTGATCCCCGAAACCTGTCAGGGAAATCAGGTGTGACTAGCACTAATTAGTCTCGGCATAGAGAGTGGGCAATCAGCGAGGGCTTTCCAGGTGTTGAGTAGTGATGGGGCTTGATGAGTTAACGTATGGAACCAAATACCTCAACGTCAATTCAACGTCTAACACAGTCCATGTGAAGGAGGTTCGGGGCTGTATTTGGATGTATTTATTATCTTTGGAGGAGGTTTAACCATATATTAAGATTGTGCTCGGTTATTTATCTGTGTGATTACTCGAGGATCGTAAGGTAGAATCTTGAAAATGAACGCACTTTTAATGTTGTAGGACCGTAGTTATTGGTCCTACAAAATGAGTAAATTTTTGCTGTTTACCTCTGCCATGAACAACCTGTTCTTTGCGTTCTGTGTGCATTTCTATTTTCCATTATATATTCACTGAGGATCAATTTATCCAGATAGTAAGATAAATCGAGGTTTGGATAAGTTCCTTTACTATGGTAAATGGTAACATATTGATACTATATAAATAGCGATTTTTTTCAACACGTTTTTCCACGTGTGTATGTCAAATGCATAATTCTTCCTCGCATTTACAATGATATTTAAACGTTATAAAGTGTCCAGCATTAGGATACACCTATAGATCTGTAAAACTATGTCTTGAAACATTAGCAGACATTTTGCAACCGCAACTCATCCAACACACCGTTTCATTGAGACAACTAAAGATGGAGAGTTATATTGAAGCCTTTAATCTATGAACTCCACATCTGCAAACTGTGAATGGAGCCTGACGCCTGTATGATTTATTCCATGTCTTCATGTGAATGGATACAAGGTTAACAAATAGCTTATAATTGGTCTCTGAGGCACTGTTGATAGATGCAGGGTTTGTTGGTTGGATATTTCCTGACCCATCAATTGTAAACAGAGCCAGAGCATTTGCTGGACCCTCGATGGAATATGTGATCTGGTTGAATTCCGTCTGTGAAGTAAACATTATTTTGTCAATTGCATATATGATTGGATATCTTTTAAAAATTCAGAAGTGAGTTATAGGTAATTGAGGGCATCTTTATCAATATCACTATTAATACAGGCCTGTCAAAAGGAAAGAAAGTATAGGCCATGATCTTTTACAGAGTAGACATAATCGAAATGAAAAGGTTCATCGCGACCTATCACTGTTGTTAAAGGATAAGTCAATAGTTGCCATATAGTCACAGATTTCACTTACAGTAGGGTCATCATCAACTGCCCTGACAGAGATGACCGTGCGACTGCCCAGGCCCCGAGATACTGTAATGGAGTAGGGATCCTGGATGAACCGAGGGGCGTTGTTGTTTCGGAACACTGATATTGTCACAGAGGCATTGAATGCAGCATCGAGAGGAGGACTGCCTTTATCTCGAGCGATCACAACAAACTGAAACAAACAAGTTCAGATACTTCAAAAGCCTATGCAATATTAGCATGTGGGGATATATCCCACTTATTTATAGTATGATTACTGATAAGGAACACCAGAATAATAACATGATGGTACACAAAAACAACTCACATTAAACTGACTTCTTCTGTTTGTATCGGAAGTAAGTGGACGCCTTGGGCGGATATCACCAGTGGAACTGACAATCTCAAAGTAATAGAGTTGAACAGCATCTCCTACAAGCTCATACGTCACTTCATTGTTGGGGGGCTGAAATGTAAGGTGTGATGTTCAAAACTAGATGAAGCAATGTCTTAACTGTTAACACATTTGTGAGACACCTTTGAGATTTGGATGTTTTCAAGGTAGGTAATCAATACCTGGGCATCTTTATCTGTGGCTGTGACACGCAGGATATTCTCAAGCACTGGGACTGTCTCTGGAATGTTGGTAGTATACGTTGCAGAACTCCATACTGGGCGTTCAAAATTTCTTGCAATCTTTAAGTACAACAATGCTGTGGAACTCCAAGGAGGAGAGCTGCCATCTTGTACCTCTATACGGACCTGAAATCAGGAGAAGCAAAATGAGACTAAAGCAAATTTTAACTTGTGTTCATATTATAACCTATTATTTTTGCTATTTTCTTTCTTTAAAGCACTAAGCGAAACAAAAACTGTCAGTGAAGTTATACATAATCTTGACCTGCAATGCAAACCTGGATACTGAAACACAGAGTATGAAAAGGAGCCCTTTCTTTCAGTCATTCTTTATGTGTAGGATATAACTTGACCCGCGGGCATTATTGAAAAGTAAGCCCGTTTCCCACAGTGTCCCTTAAGAACAATAGAGTGACGTCACTGTCGGTTTATAAGTTCTTAGAAACCCTGTTAACAAGAATTGGCAACGTATATGCCTTTTAAGCTGAACAAAACATAGCATGGGGTGCACAGGTTGGGTAACAAAATACTATAGTTCTTGCTTACAGTAAAGTCAACGATGGATGTGTTTGTCAGGCTGGTTTTCAAAGAAACTGTTCCTGTGTCCTTTTCTATTCGAAAATACGTTGAAGCAGATCCATCGCCGATGATGCTGTACGCCAGGCTTCCAAAGTTACACTGTAATGTTTAAACGGCATATTCAGCAGATTCATGTCAGCCTAAAGGCAAGAGTATATATCATATATATCATGGCGAGTACAGTCGGGTATCTTTGCTCCCAACATCAAATGGACTCTGTTTCTGATTCTAGTCAAGATACTCTCGTATTTTATACTCTCTTGACTATAATCAGGAATAGATTTCATTGGCACGTTGAACCGAGTATTGCCTTGATGAAACTAGAGCAGAACAACAATCATTTCATTCTACTCTCGACTCAAATCTTTAAAAAGACTGGACATGATACCAACCAAAGTGTCGTTATCCGAAGCGCTCAGTGTTGCGACGCTGGCATCTACAGGCAATGTTTCTGGTATGGTCTGTTGCACCTCGGAATTAATGAAGACTGGGGCATAGAGGTTGTCTCCAGCTGGAATAGAGGCCTACGATAAAGACTTATATACAATGTATACCAATACAAAATGTCATCTTCTACAGCCGTCCTTAAATGTAATGCCCCATCGCTCCGTCATGTATACTTACACCAATAGATGATGTTCACATTTGATTCAGTGTTGCGATTCTTTACTCTCTTTGTTGTGGGAGAAATATGAACCAAGACCTATTTGTGTACAAGGGATCGTTGTAAAGAATACTCACGGTTACAAGGCGGAGGGGTGACTTGTGTCGTCAGCTTTACGTAGACCAGCAGCACACAGGTCAGTTTGGTCAATGTCGGAACTGGCGGCCTTGCAGCCATCACGTGAATCTGTCTTGGAGCTAAGTGAAGTGATAACTTTCAATACTCAGACCATGAGAAAACAGCATGTCACATTCCAGGAAATAATGATAATGTTTAGCATCGTAACGAACGCATGGCACTTTTGTTTAGATTGTAAGTATCAGTACTTGGCACTTAACAATGTGTTCCATGTCAAGGATAACAATAACGCATCGTGTCATTTGATTATATCTCTGGTATTTATTCCTTACGTCCCTGTTGCGGTTATCGAATTTGCATTTGAATTTGAATACCTATGCCATTCGGGTATGACGGACATGTTTTTATGCCGTAAGCATATGTCAAGGATAAATGCTTTAATTAATAGATAAATCGCACATGTTGTTCAACTATTTATGTGTAAGCCATTGTGGGTATTTACGCATTCCACGATAGCATGCTATCAGCAAGTATTATACAATGCATGTTGATCATTTGAAATCCAAATAACCAACAAGTGCTGCGTGTACTCGCTCCGACTAAGGTCCTTCTTATAATGCAAGCCCATATACCATGACGACAGGAATATCTTTTCAAACTAGTGTGGTGACTGTCATCTAAGTTTTTCAAACTTAAACTCCCTATACCCGATAATGAACGGGATATGTTTACTTCCTTGTCACTGGGGACTTGCAGAACATGTTATGTTCGTTAGATATAGAGAACAAATTTAGAGTTTCAGTGCTAACGAACGATCGGGCAAACTGACGGACGAAAACCCATATTAGCCTCTTACAAACGATATAAAGGCTAGGTAAATTATGCATTTACTACACGAAATCACGCTTGACCTATAAGCTCTATATACAATGCAATCAAGATGGCAAACAGGGTCGTCTGTGTCTGCTGGTGCACGACCAGATTCATTCCTATCTCTGAATACTCTCAAACAGAAGTTTGTGGATTTTGAGGCGAGACATATCATACACCTGTTTAATCTTCTCTACGCGCAAACACGTGCAATTTCTCACCTTCACGCCAACGCCCAGGTAGAGGTGCACACAGAAAACTTGAGCGAATTTTAGGGGTCTGTGTTAAGGCAGCTTGTCCTATCAGGATGTACAATATTACTTGGGGAGCGCTTATATATAGGCACTTGAAGAACCGGTTTGTTATTGTAATGGGATTGAATGTGATATGATGGGTTGGCTGGAGGGTTGGCGGGTGCACATTCCACAACAAGTGAAGTGTGGAAAGAGAAACACAGTTACTGTTTCTTCAAAGTGACTGCCTCTTCAGCCTTCAGCCTTCAGCCTTCAGCCTTCAGCCTGCAGCCAAGTAGTCAGTCGTGTATGACAGTTATATACACATGGGAAAAAGTATCGCAACACCTATGATTATTAAACCCCATATAGCCATTTATAATCATATCATAATTATGTTTGTTTGTGTGACTATTTTGACGACTCGGGACACAAATGGAGTATTGAAACCAAAAGGGATTGGATTAACAGTCGCTCTTTTCTCAACGTGAATGGCTCTTCAGCCTTCTGCAACATCGGATTCATTATTCATATAGAAACCAATATACACTCGAACCGAGCAGGGCCAAAATAACAAAATAGGATGTGATAGTGGAGAAGAGACAAGACTGGAATGTATACAACTGGTGAAATTATGACTGGTACGAGGGATGGATAAAAACATTTTTTCACTTCCATTCGGTTATGTACGTCATTTACACTATTAAATGCAGCTCCTTCCTTGGCTACATTTGAACAAAGTATTCTTTGACTGAATGGACAAATTGTTTCTTGTGTTGTCATAAGTATCTCCAACAGCGTGAACATATTGTCTACTTTTGATACTTTTGAGTGATTCGCAAGAACAGATGACTCTTGCGATTAGTACTATCTGACAGTGACTAACCAAAAGTCAGTGTTTTTGAACATCCCAGATGACATCTCAATTGTAGAAAGTGACCACAAACCACACGAGACAATCCCGAAGGAACCAGTGCGTGAGAGTTCAGAGGGTATGCAACAAAAGAGAGGCTGTCATTTGGCTATTTCTTAAGACCCTCTGCAATGCTTTTTCTGCTTCCATGTAACACAAATCATTGATTTATTTTTTTTTCATTTTTGTTCCCACTCTATAAGATATCTAATACAGTAATGTGCATATACTCACTCATATACACACATACACATATACATACATATGCATATACATATATAGATGGATAGATGTACAATTTTTTCCCTTCAACTGAGGATGGGTGGATTTCCAGACAGGCAATCTTAGTTCCGGCAATCATGCACATAGCTAAATACAGTCGTAAGTCTCATTTGAAAGGTATAGTTTACAGACAGGTATTCCAAGTTCATTTAATCGTGCACATAGATAAAGCATTCATATATAAAGATGTACATGTGTTTCCTTTCACTTAAACGTTGAAGGTATGTTTACAAGAAGACGGTTTAAGTTCTGTCAGTCATGCACATAAATAATACAATCATAAATATGAAGATGTACATGTAATTCCTTTCATTTGGTAGGTATGGGTTACAGATAGACGTTAGACGTTCTGCCAGTCGTACACATAGATAGTACAGTCATAGTATAAAGATGTACTTTGTTTCCTGTCACTTGGAAGGTATGGGTTGCAGATAGACATTTTAAAGTTCTGCCAATCTAACACGTAGATAATACAGTCATAGCATAAAGATGCACATAATGTGTTTCTTTTCAATTGGAAGGTGTAGTTTATAGATAGGTATTCCGTGTACATAGATAATACAGCCATACGTATAAAAATGTACATGTTTTTCCTTCAAGTTGGAGAGTTTGGGTTACACCGGTCATGTACATAGATAGTATAGTCATGCGTATAAAGATATACATATTTTCCCTTTCTATTGGAGGGGCGGTGGGATAGCCTAGTGGGTTAAGCGTTCGCTCGCCACGCCGAAGACCCGGGTTCGATTCCCCACATGGGTAAAATGTGTGAAGCCCATTTCTGGTGTCCCCCGCCGTGATATTGCTGGAATATTGCTAAAAGCGGCGTAAAATCAAACTCACTCACTCCTTTCTATTGGAAGGTATAGTTTACAGAATACCTAAGTTCATCTAGTCATGTACATAGGTACAGTTATATATATAAAAATGTACATGTTATTCCTTTCTATAAGAAGGTATCGTTTACATATAGGTGCCTTTGTTCACCCAGTCATATACATAGATAATATAGACATGTACTAGCATATGAGATGTACATATTTTCCCTTTCTTTTGAAAGGTATGTTTTCCTATAGGTAGTTTAAATTCATCCACCCATATATATAAACAATACAGTTATATACTAGCATATGAAGATGTACATGTTTTCCCCCTCTATTAGGAGGTATATGTTTCAAATAGGTAATCTATGTTCACCCATTTGTGTACACAAGTGTACAGACGTATTTATAAAGATGTATATGACATTCCTTTCAGTTGGGAAGTATAGATTACAAATGGGTATTTTAAGTTCACCAAATTCTGCCCACACATTTAGTATGCAGACTTCAATAAGTCTTTAAACCATATATATAGTAGACAAGGGATAATTTTAAATGTTTTCAGATAATAAGCTCAAGCAAATTATTTAACATTGTTCGCTTAGGGAGAAATATGTAGTAAATGTGTAATCATCTGATTTCGTTTCGAATAATTTGTGGAAAGATGACCAAAAGTAGAAATATTTACTATTGGAGCAGGTTGAAGAAGCTGTAAATCTGGTGGCTTCATAATATTTTATAATTTCTCTTTGTGCATGCTTAAAATGAATGCTTTTATTTTTCATACATTGGTTTACAATCACTTGTTTAACTATCAGGCACACAGCATTTAGTGGGTTATTATGTTTTCCTTGAAATCCTAATAGTATGTTTTCTGCGTTAAATGTAAATTCTCCTTCTGCAGCAATGTTCAGTCAACTGGTCAGACGTCTCCAAAGCTCTTTTACATGGCTACATTCATAAAACAAATGCATGACAGTTTCAGGTTCTCTTCCTCAAAAAGTACATAGAAAGGAATCCTTACGTCCAATATTGTATAAGAATACGCTTGTTGGTATTATTCCATAGATTATTTTGTAATGCAACCATATTAGATAGCTGCTGTTTGTACATCTGTGTGCCCATTAGATAAATATGTTCCAACATTTTGGAATTATATTGTTTCTGAAATAGTCTTTCCCACCTTTTATGTGCATATGATTTGTTGTAACCTGCATCAAGCAGTGAGACGTAAAATACTTTTGTTCCTTGCAAGGTACTTTGCAGTTGAGATACATTAAAGGGGATCCTATTAAAATGCCCAGACCTTTTGAAGGAGAAATTGTTCCTTTTAAGAAACTTCCTCACAGAAGATATTATGCTGTTGTATATTAGAAAGTTAATTTTGATATCAAATATCCTTTGTAATTCTTCATGTGAATAAAAGGCCATACTAGCAGGGTCAAGCAAATCATATACATAGTGTATTTCTCCGTACTAATTTGAATAAAAAACTGTCTGGTCTCCAATTTTGAAAAGATTGTTGAACCATAACGATTGATTCAGTAAATCCTTATTTTCCAGCTGTTTATATCTTTTATCCAAATATTTTCCCCATGCTTCTACGACATCCTTCCAAAAAGTGTTTCCAATTGTAGGGACAATTTGTTTATGATATATTGAGGATCGGCTAGCCATATTCTATAGTTTTCAAGTATACAATTATCAACCAATATTTTCCATTTAGCATTTTCTTCTCGTAGTCGTTTTATCCAAGATATTTTTTACCACAAATCATTTCCTTTACAATAGGTACATGTAGTCCTCCATACTTTGGTTGCATGCAACTCTCTATCCGGTTTAGTCCATATGAATTTAAAAATTTTGTCTGAAAGATTTGACAATCGTTCAGGAGGTAATGGTATGGATGAAAAAAAAAGTAATAGTGATTTCAAGATTATATTTCTTCCTATTGGAGTTAGAGTACGAATTGACCATAGATTCATTTCGCATTCTATCTTTTCAATTTCTCATAGTAATTCAGTTCAATCATGTTTTCCAGGTCCACATCAAATTGTATTCCTAGTAGTCTAAAATTGCTTTGAGACCAATTCAAATTCCAATCTGTACATAGCATGTATCGACTCCCCTATCCATAACACAAATCATTGATGTCAAACGTTCATGTTGTAAACACAAGAAGGAAGAGAAGCACGAGGAATATAGTATAGACAAATCTCTCTCTCTCTCTCTCTCTCTCTCTCTCTCTCTCTCTCTCTCTCTCTCTCTCTCTCTCTCTCTCTCTCTCTCTCTCTCTCTCTCTCTCTCTCTCTCTCTCTCTCTCTCTCTCATGAGCTCTTTGAAAACAGAAGGCACTTCCTTCATTGTATTGGTGATTACGGTTGTCGTAGAGACAGAGATTGGATAGTACAGTTGCTGTACCCAGTAAGATATCTCTTTTCAGGATATTTGGAATCCAGTACCGAAGAGGCGTGGTCATGCCGCCTTAGGAGTCGTATCAAAGTAGACATTACTGATGTATTGTTTTGTTACGTTTCTTCTTCAGTTGGATACTGGCTTACATGTTGAAGTATTTGGTATGTCACTCATACCAGGCTCTTTGATCAAACAGTATTAATGAAGTGATACTTATAAGCATTTATGATGCCCCATCTGTGCTGCCGAATCCTGTCGATACTTTCTGTCTGGTGTGTCGCCCCAACAGGAACCAATTGACTGTGCATTCGATTCCATGGATGACTGATTAAGTTTTACACGTTTTTATACAAGGTTATAAATGTGTGAGGTGTAAAGTCAGATTGGAATTCAGGATCAGTTATGAAAATAGGACAAATATTGCCATTCGTGTGCCAAATGAAGAAATACCGCATTGAGGAATGTGTTCTTCAGTCTTGTTGAATTTGTTCAATGATATTTTTCTGAATGAAACATTTTCTGATTAAAGAGAAGTTGGGTTCATGTTCAACAGGTTGAATTCATGAGGATAAAGATTAACCGAGGGCAGCAGTCGGAACCACATGTTGTAACATTCAGGAAACGAGGTCACTATTTATTTGAATTCGACATAGTTTGAAATGTGACAGATGTGTTCCTGGAGTTATGGTGATGGGATTCCGGAGATTTAATAGCTGTCACCTTATACTAACAGACAACAAGGAACAATATGACGGCAAATGTTTATTTGGTTTCAACTATGTCCATTCGTTTTATGATGACCAATGTACAAAGGTTCTGAGTTGAAGGGCAAGTTTACACAAAAATAACCTTTTAGTTATGCACCTTTTCATCATAAAAAGTGTTTGACAATTAGTTTAATATCCAACACAGTACACATATACATGTATACATTGAATCCGCTTCTCATAAGTCGACTTTTACGACACGCTTTTGATGCATGCATGTGTCTGGAGACTTGACACTTTGAATATTGGTACAGGATCCACGTTTTCAGGAAACAGGTATGCCAGAATCCTTTTCGATGTATCCCATGTCCTGTATAAAATACATATCAAAGTATGAAATGTTGTATCAAGTATCAATTATTCCCTACATTCATGCATGAAGGTAACATTGCATGATGCATAATCCTATTGGTTGCATGTGTCCCGCTCAATACTCCGAACATTCTATTCCATATACATGCATTTAAAAATGTTCTCAGTCTTTGATTGTTGGAACTCAATCTCGAGTATAATATATCTTCAAGAAACAAAACAATTGTTCTTAACAGAATCAAGCAGTCCGAGTAATATCGACTGACTACACAGCAACCACATACCAGGTCGTCAGCATCTGAAGCTGTCACTCTGAGAACCACGTCTCCAATTGGCCAGGTCTCCAGAATGGTCTCTTCATAGGTGACGGGGTTGAAGATGGGTGGGTTTAGGTTCCGGTTGATGGTGAGTTCAACAAGGGCAATGTCGTACAGTTTGGGACTGCCATTGTCCTCAGCTCGAACATAAATCTGTAGGAGACTGCGGAACATACATTTTCAAACAATACTCAGTCACTTGAAAAATTAAAAAATATATGTTTAAAACAAGGTTTTAATTGATTTTCTGACTGAAACATATCATGACAAATATAACATATATGCCTGATTTAATTCCCAATACTGCATAAATGCATATATATATATATATATATATATATATATATATATATAGTCTGTTTTAAAACTTGATGATGATTGACTGGTTGTAATTAACCAATTCCCAACACTTATACATACATACAAACAAACAAAACAAACAAATTACATACATACATACATACATACATACATACATACATACATGCATACATACATACATACATACATACATACATACATACATACAGCATACATACATACATACATATATATATATGACAAATAGTCTGTTTTAAACTTTGGTGTTATGACTCTTCTATTTGTAAAATCCTATAATGAAGGATATATGGAATTTTTAGAATAAAATTAGTATTTTTTCTTATCCTGACTCATGCTTACTTGTCTTCTTCTTCTTGCGAACAGAGTGGAACACGTGTATCTCCCAATTGAAGTTCCCTTCAATTAAAAAATCACTAATTAGTACTCACCAAGTAACCTCCCTCCACAACAACGAGGGCGCCACCTGAAACTGTCGAGGCCCCGACACTTTATTTTTCTGAAGAATCTGATGCCATGAGTCAGGATAAGTATAAAATATTAATTTTACTCTAAAATTTCATATTCCATCCTGACTCATGCTTCTTCGGTGGGAATATATATACTTTGATTTTAATAATTAGGATTTTGAACAATGGGTTAAAGGCACCTTATGAATTCCTGCTGTCTCAGCTGCCATATAAGAGGCACAATTTATGTTGATAGCTGCAGGGATAATATTTGAGTTGATTGGATATTTATTTCCTGATGCCCATCTTAAGATATAATTATAATTGTATAAAGTAACCAACTCCTTAGAGTTTGAGCCATAGAGCATTTGCTGGAACATATATATATTATAGTAGCAAAACCACGATCGAATATCTGATCTGGTTAAGATAATAAATTCTTAAGCCAAAATATATAGTGTGGCTATTAGTGGAGAAGTATATAAAATCATGGCTTATCTTCTCCATTTGATGTTCGGACCATGGGACGAAATGGTGGATAACGCGTCCCGGTGGTGATATCTAATACAAACAATCGGATCTCCAGAAACATATTATGGAAAACATTACGAGACTTGAGGATTAGAAGTGATCGATATAGGCACGTAGTATTCCAGATTTCACTTCAATGTCTGGTAAACAGGATAAATATCTCTTTGAATTTCCCTCTGCCGAGATATAATCCTTTTCTGGGATGAATATACAAGATCCATATGTATCCAACATCCTGATATAAAATACATGTCAAAGTATGAATCTAGCTGATCCTCCCTAAATTCTGTTGTTTGTATCGTAAAGAATCCTTGGGATCTTTAGCAAGCTACTTGCCCATGACCATATGTAGCCCCCTATCTTCTAGGATTCTATTGATGAAATCCTGTTTGAACATGTTTTAATGACGTTCAACTAGGAGTTCGATGGATCATCATAAGAACTCTCTTGGTAGATACTTTGGGAGACCTTGTCATGAGTGCATAATGGAGCTATTGTATAGAGATTCTATGGTTGCATAAGCCTTCGACGCTCAATAGTTTCAGTCTGATAGGTGCTCTATGTAAGAAATTGTGGTGGTTCTTTTTCTATTCTATATACACCATCTGGTGATGAGAGTTTCATTTCTAGAAATTCAATGTTCCTCCTGGCGAGTCTAGTTGATTGCGTTACACTGTGTAACTTCTGGACTTGGCATCTGATTCTTAAAGTTGTCAGTAAACATCCTGGGCCTTATATATATCTTCATTGAAGACCGGGAAAAACTTTGAAAAACACAAATTGTTCTCGGATCAATAGGCGGTAAGATGACATTGTGCTACATCATCATCCTTCATCAGGTGAAGTCCTGAGTTGAGTGGGAAGCAATACTCATTCACCATCCAGATCTGACTCAGCATCTGCCAAAAATGATACCTTCTTCCTCAGTCACATGTCGGAGTCCTAGATATGTTAGGAAGATCACTGTGGTGAACGGACCAGGCTAGTGTAAAGGAGACCTTGGAGCATCTGAAGCTTTGTCTTCTAAATCTTCTGAGGTAACCACGACTCTTCACTCGAGGTCAATTCCCGAATCGCATGTCTGAGCGCTTGCTTCAGAGACCTCTTGTGTCTGGCCTGGAGCAGATCGCTCCTTCTCCGCGATATCCCTCGCATGGGTAGCTCTTCATAGAAGTGACTAATGGCTGGGTTGCCCTTTGCTTTAAGATGGAGTACGCGAGTAAAGGCGGGCTCTGGGGGCTTATTCCTTTTAGGTTCCGTGGTTGATGGTTAACGGTCCTCCATCAGAGTTTCAACAGTCTGCGCTGGCGTTGAAGTGGCAATGTCGTAGGCGTCAGTTTCTGGTTGCGTGTTTATCTGCGGACTGGAATGATAATCCGGAATGTAATCAACCTTAAAGTTGTTATCAAATATCCTGGGCCTGCCATTGTCCTCAGTGTAGATAATCTTCTTAGACGATTCGGGAACAGGCTTATCCCAAATACACCAGAAAGCTGGTACATAAATCTGTGAGTTGAAAAAGGTTAGCATAGTTCAGAATATATATGGAAGCCACTTTTGTTGGACGCTTTCCCTTCGCGGAGGCAGCGAGACTGCGGAACATACAGGTCGTTTTCAAACACGCGTGTTTATAACTCTTCCGTCACTTGAAAAATTGACAAAATATATATACTTAAAACATCTGCCTCTCCGTCTCAAAACGGTTATTTTGCAGAAATTGTAGAAATTTAATACATAATTTACAACGAGAAACAATAGAACTGAGTAACAACTAGGGCATTTTAAATGGATCGGTAGCGGAATAATAGTTTACAACCTGTGCGTATGAACGTAAACGCTGCTGAACAAACACGAACCGTGAATAAAACAGCAGAAACACGACTAATAATCAATGCAAGTTGAATATACTAGTTACACCTCTATAACTGAATATAAAGAGGTAGCTAAACTAAATATAAATAAAGGATATAGTGTGTTGGGAGACACAGGCGCTCTCACACACACTGGGCATAGAAGGACAGAGTGAGGCATATGGGTTCAGGTGGCGCCCTCGACTTGTGGAAGGGAGGTACCTCGTGGTGAGTTTTAATTAGTGATTTTTTTAATTGAACTTATTGACTGTTCTATTTGCAAGAAGAAGAAGACACTATAAGCATAAGGAAAAAAATATGTATTTTGAGAAAATCCTTTAGACTTTGTAATTAAAGTGTGTATGTACGCATACTTCGTCTGGTCGCTATACGCCTGAAACAATGCCGATGCGACGTATAACTTCAACTAAACTTAACTCAATATATATGTCAATAAACCTTGCTTCTTTATAGTATTCAAACTAACAAAAGAATGTACTCTAAGATCTTCATTGCTGATGTAATGTAGTTTCATCATATCGTGATATATGATACTAAACTTATACTTTCCAGCTCACCTGGATATTTGATGAGTCGACTCTTTGATTCGGCCGCCATTACAAGTACTTATACCTCTAGGGGTCGTTATGTCCATGGTTTCCGTGGGTTGTGGCATATCCTTGGCTCACATTTACGCTTACCTGTGAGATTTTATTGACTTACCTGACACATGGATTCTATACCAGAAAAACGTATAATGAAATAAACTGAAGAAAAACCTAGTATGATCAAAATGATAGTGAGTGTGTCTCTATAAAGTAATGTTAGTATCTGTAGATTGAGAAAATGCTTGGATTAGTAATTAACAAGAAAACAATGATCTGTGAAACATTCAAACTGTGTCAAAAGCCACAATGGATACTGATATCAACCGACTAAAGCTGGCAGAATGAGTTTTGGATGTCGTTTTACTTGATGATGAACGGGTATATGGAAACGGGGATGAGAAGAATACCAGGAATCCACAGCTTCAGGCACAATGAGTTTTGCTTAAAGTGCAGTGTATATGTAAAAATGATCAAGCACAGGATTTGTCCAGGAACGCTAGGATTAGTTTTAAAACCCTAGTGAAAATGTAAAAGACGCAGTAATCAGGATAGTTCAAAATCACTAGGGTTAGGTAAAAAGTACATAGTATATGTAAAAGAGAAAGACTTAGTAAATCAAGCGCTGAATTCGTTTAGGCGCAAGGGTTAGATTAAAGTAGTACCTGTAAAAGAGAAAGTAAATGAACGTTCAGGTTCTTTACCGTTTGTTTAAATGTAGAAATGAAACAGAAAGTGAATCTAGCCCATGATTCGTTCAGGGCCACTGGACTTAGTGGAAAGCGCAGTGTCTCCTTCATTGGTCCTTGTTTTTGATAGCATACGCATAATATCATTCCGGCAGTGCCAGACTGTCAGTGAAATCATACACTAAAGACTACACTGACAGTCTATCATGGCACATTGCTTGTAAAATAAAACTGCTGTAAAAAGCATTGAAAATGGTAGTGTTGAGAATGGATGTTTTCCTGAAAATGAATGTGTATTTGTTATTCACATCATAATATAGTATTATAAACATGATTATCATTCAAAGTTTGATGTTGCAGAAGAAAAATACGAACGATACATGTATAAATGAACAGAATAATAAATATATAATCACAGACACACACTTCCATCCAACTCATTCATTGACATGTACCGGACCCGAGGAACGGTGAGGGGCACATAGAATAGACTTCCTAGGTTTAAAGTCGTACTGTACATAGTAAAGGTCTATCCCTTATAGGACAATATTCAAACAACTAAAATTCATGAATCATCATAAGAAAGTAACATTAAAGCGTCTGTATAACAAAGTGTTCAGCTAGAATGCAAATATTCACAGGATATATTTTACAATTGTGTAGGAGTTGACACGTTCATCTTCATAGAAATCTGCCTTAGTCATATAAACCCAATAGTAACACACCAGAAAGTATTACGCATTGAAGTATTTTGTAATAGTGACTATATAAATTACACTTTTGAACATTAAACCCATATACCTTTGAGGCAATTACCCCAGTACTCATATGATATACATCAAGTGATGTAAGTCTTACTGCTTCCACCCCAGTACGGTAGCAGAGGCTCCTGGCAACAGAGGGATGCTCTGGGTAACATGGAGTTGGTATCGTTGGGTGGCCGCAGCGTTGTATTTCTGTCCATGGTGATTTCAACATTGGCAGGCGGATTAGCCCTTAGTCCACCTCCATCTACTGCATCAACAACAATCTGGAGAAATAAAGAACAAACATGAACATAACACTGCAACCTGTGCTTACGATCTACTTGCACATTAATTATTTTCAACTCCCATCAGCAAGCCGATGGGCAAGGTATGTGTCAGGTAAGCAATGGTGGTGGTTCCTTTACAGTAGAACATATGCAGAAGTGATACAACTCAGTACATGAATGTTATTTTATGCCGTTATATCAGCAGACATATTAACTAACTTACCATACCTGAATAGAACGATATGATATGGATTTATTTTCTCCCCGGGGAAAAGAATACATACATTTCTTACCTCGAACTGATATTTATTTTTCACACCGATGTTTCTTTTAGCTTTTCATCCATGTTAAATGATTCAACTCACCGTGTATACTCCAGTGTAGCTTGTGTCTGATTCCAGAAAGCACCTGAGACTGACTCCACCAGTGTTCCGGTCCACCATGAAGTACAGCCGTCCAGGAACACTGGAGAGAATGTTGTTGACCTCATACTGCACAGTGTTGTAAGGGGCCTGGGAGCAGAAACAGATGGAAATGTAAATGCCAACATTTACATATTGATGGAAGAAATTATAGCTATGATATCACATACGTGTACACACCCGTTGTGGGGGTATTTGAGCTTCGTAAACACTCATCGAGCAGCAACAAAGTCAAGTTCACAAACTAGCAACAAATAGATACATGTAAACATAAATTATCAACACAACTAAACCGATTGTTTGTATAGATACCAATCACAACTATGGCAGTCATCAATGTTTTGACGTAAGCAAGATCAAGTGTGTCAGAGTTACATTCTGACCCCATCCAACACAGGTGACAAAACCCTTTCCATACTCATAAATATAAGACGCCAGTTTATAATACTGGAGCCCAAACAGCTAATTGTATTCGACTCAGCACAACTGACAAATGCTTCTGAGCTAATGATAAAACTCGTGCACTCAGGTCCACCAGTAGTGACCAAGTTCTAGAAACCTCTGCTTAACAAAAGGCATCCTTGAAGTACGTCAGTGCTGTGCCATCCCCTGTAGCTTCATAGCGTACAGTTCGATTCACGATGGGGAGACTGAATCACACACAGATCATGGCATAAATGCATTCAAATCCTTTTGCTCTATATTCTCCATATTACCGCTATTAAGAGCATTCACATGAGACTAAGAACCATCTAGCCAAAGGTTGAGAAGGCTCAACAGAAAAATGGAAATATAACTGTAATAACAAAACCATAACCATTCCACTATACTAAATGTTTCAAAATCAGAGAAATACATTTAGCAAACAACTTCACTACAATTGAAACATAACATTAAGAAACAAATTAAAACATAGTAGCCATTTTGTTACCTTGCTGTCACCATCAGTAGCAGTCACTTGGAAGATGGACAATCCCAATGACTGAGTCTCGAAAAATGGTGATGTTGTAATTAGTGGATCAAAGCGAGGAGCAAACAGATTCCTGTTGACTGTGATGCGAACAGTGGTCGTGTCGGACTTGCTAGGAATACCTCCGTCAGCCGCTCGGACTCTCACCTTGGGATCACAATTAGTATTATGAGGCATGAGACAAAGTGAACATTCATGGGTATTATAGCGTACTGAAGGATTCAACAATACAAAAGTAATTTGCAGTGTTCTCATTTCTCCATGGGATTACATGATCGTGCTGACATAAATCAACTATTGTTTTCTGTTTTATGAATGGAGTCTTTTGGACAAATTTCAAAACTGTTTTGTCTAGAGAATCAAATCTTGAACAACAGTATTATCCTGCCATTGATCATTACCAACAAATAATTCAGAACTGAAACAAAAGTACAATATATTTTTGTTATTTTTATCATTTAGTTTGATTTTACTGTTATTTCCTTTTGTTTACATTTAATATACCAATAAATGGTCCCAACTACCCACAAAATGAAGTAGTTCTTCTTACATAAACTATCAACCTATCATAATTTGACTGAGTAAAAATCCTTTTCAGAGACACTACACAGTTTTTCATCATCAAAATACACAGTGTTCTCATACACAAAATGTTCACTAAACAGCACTTCCCCAAACAGCCATAATGAAACATATTATACATTATTCTTTAATAAAGATGAATATACAAAATGGATTACATTCAGATGCTGACAGTTACAGCATAAAAGCTAGCATGTATACTCACAATATAAGTTGTCTTGTCATCATTCAAGACTGGTGCTTTCACGAAAATCTGTGCATTGTTGTTATCAATTTGACGGATATCGAAGTAGACTGGAGCTGTGTCATCACCAATGAGACTAAACTGAATGGTGTTGAACGGAGCAACAATATCCGTGTCGACAGCAGTTACTGTGAAGACAGGATCATTTATACTGGCATCTTCCCGCAGACTGGTTATATATGGTTCATTGGTGAAAATAGGAGGGTTGTCGTTGCGCTGTACATTGATGGTCACAGAAGCAGCAGTGCTTTCCAGTAATGGGGAACCACGGTCACGAGCAACCACTAGCATCTGTGTACAAGGAGTACATTCATAAAAACATCAGTTTTTCATGTATTACACATGTAAATAAAGACATCTTTCAAATATAGATTATACCAACATAACTAAGCTATGTAAATGAAATGAAGTGAAAACTTACAGAGTAAACTGATGCTGTGCATGGATTGTAAAGTAATGAGCGTCTTGCAGTGATGACACCAGTGTCTTGGTTGATCGTGAAACATTCCAGGTCCTCAGGGCCTTCAGATATGACGTATGTAATCTGGTTGTTTGGAGCCTATGAACAGAAAAGAATCATCAAAATACACTTTAAACTATATCATGCAAAGTGAATAATACATCTTATTACTGTACTCTTCAATAGTAATCAGTTGGGACATCTGTAACAAGTGTATGCATAAAGATACTTGTACAGCATACAAGTTCTAATAAAAAAGCAACAAATGGTATATCAAACGCCATGTGTTACTTGACAAGACTAAAACTATAGTTCCTAACCGTGGGATCAGCATCTGTAGCATTGACATCAATGATGGGTGTTCCTAGTGAGATGGTCTCCTGCACAGTCTGAGTATAAGTAGCTGGGGTGATGATGGGAGCTTGAAAGTTTGTAGTGATAGTCACAATGACTGTGGTACGGTTACACATACCACCAAGGTCACACGCCTGGACACGAAGCTACAACAGAAACAATATCAAGGTTCTTTAACCGTACTCTGTAACAAGGACAAAAGGTCACAGAGTGCATCATTAATTCATCAGACTGATTGTTGTTTAATTTTTACATGTTATTCAAAATGTAGAAAATAAAACTAAAGAGTTTCAGACAAATGTTGTTTGTTCATATTGTTGTTTAATGCTGCTTTCAGCAATATTTCAGATATATCATATCAGTCTCTAAATAATATAATTAGGACCAGACGAACCTGTGATTGAACATAATTCCATCCCACTAAAATATGATCCATGCAATTATTCGAATCAGCAAGCTTGACAATTAAATAAATTGTTTCATCCCTTACAACATGCATAGATTGCTGAGGGCCTATATACTCGCCTGTGGTTTCCATGGGTTCTTCAGCAGAATATAGAATGACCTACCTGATAGAGATTGTCTGAGGTTTGACCCAGTGCATTGCTGATCTCAATGAGTCCACTCGTGGGGTTGATACTGAAGAAGTTGGGGGCTTGGTCATCACCAATGAGAGTATAACGAATCTGCCCAAAGATTGTGCTCTGAAACAGATGCAATATATACCATCAGCACTAACCAATGAGTCATACTCATGTCCCTGTGTTATAACAATAACTGGGTCAGAGTCTTTGATGTACAGAGAGTAAAATCAAGGTGCAAATAAGCATGACAGTCATGAAACATAACTTACTGATGAGTTTCTAATCAATGCTTTCAAAAGCATGTATACATCAAAATTTGAAAAAAAACATCATTCCTACACACAACACAGTGAAATGTGCATACAAAGACAACATTTATTGATCATAAGAGTAGGAATTTGAACAGAAAATAACTGCATTTGAATCACTGAATAAAGGTTTATTCAAATGTCTCCATAGTGGTTAAGCAAGAAAGGCAATGTGTGTATATAACTTGAATGTGGAACTTACAGGATCATCCCTGTCTTCTGCTTGAACTGTCAACACTCCTGTACCGGCACCAAGAGTGCGCTGGAGGTCTCTTCTGTATGGCTCATTGATGAAGAAGGGTGTGTTCTGGTTATGTGTAACCAGGACGGTCACATAGGATGGCACATCAGAACAACGTGGACTAGAGGCTGAGTCACACACTGACACAGTGCCAATATAGGTTGAAATATCAGACCGGAGGGCTAGATCTTTCTTCACATTCACGTCCCCAGAAGAAGGATCCACACCAAAGAACTCACTAAACAATGGACTTGATGTTGGCCTGAACACTACTGTGTTATATGGTACCTGTAAGTAGATAGAGTTATATGATTAGATGAGTTATATGAAATAAATCAATATTTGACCACAATGCTATATACCGGTACATGTCATGATATTAGAATAAAGTATGATCTTACCGCAACATCAGCATCAGCAGCATTAATAGTGAGGATGGGTATGGAGAGAGCCTGTGTGGCCAAAATCCCAATACTGTAGTTTTGAGGCTGCAGTTGTGGTGCATTCAAATTCCTGTTTACAGTTACTAGCACTGTTGATGTGTCTGTGAGTCTTGGAGTTCCTCCATCCATGGCAACAACTCGAAGCTGATGTGAAGAAAAAATGACAATATTAGAGACACAGTCATCATACATATCCTGACAAGAGGTCATAAACATATGCATTATAACTACAACTGTTTAACTGCAATTCATGGGTTACTGATAACCGTAGAAGGGAACTCACCACATATTGTTCACTGTTATCAGAATTTAGGGTATTTTGAGTCCTGATGGCACCAGTGTCAGGCGTAACTGTAAACAAGCTGGTTGCCAAACCATCACCAATCAGGGAATAAGTAACCCGATTAAAAGGATCCTGGAAGTAAAAAAATAGTCATTGTAAAATAAATTCTATGTTTAAAAAATCCAAACAAACAAATTCTGGCAAAAATTTAGATCGAATTAGAATCTGTTGAAATTCATGTCATCATAAAATCATTATTGCAAAGCTACATATGGACCCAAATGGTAGGGGAATACATATTTGAGCACTAGAAAATGTCTAACATATTGTAAGAGGAATAATACTGAATACAATCCAAACAGCTACAGGACACCTTCAAAGCAAGTGACTTGGAAAACTTCCAAGCAACATCAACAGAGTAGGACACTATGAAGTGACTTAAGTTTTATGATAATATGGGATCAAGGCCTTGCTGTGATGAACACTTTCCCTATGTGATTTTTTTAAGAGCATTTAGAAATGATCAACATGAGTCACAGAATTTTTTCTTATGGATATCACCTTCTTTATTTGTTAAACACAACGCTTTGAAGGAGTAAGAATTAAGTCCAAAACGTCGCGTTGAACAAACAAAGAAGCTGATAACCATACATTTTCACTTTCCCCTCAGATGGCCCATGGTTTCTGTTAACTGAACTGCTTATACCTACCACAATGTCAGCATCTGTAGCCTGCACATTCATGACAGGGGAGTTTACGGGAGCAGTGAAGTCAATTCTTGCACTGTAGGGTTCACTCTGGAAGACAGGGGGGGTTCAGGTTGCGGATAATGTTGACACGCACACGTGCAGGTGGCACTGAAATTTGCACTGGTACACCTTGGTCAGTGGCTGTTACTGAGAACTGAAATCCAGAACATAGCAAAGTCAGTGAAACGACATACAAACAAAACATGAATGGTATTATCTATATATATCAGGACAATGATTGACAATTATTGATAATGGTTGGTCAGTATTTACCTCAACAAAAGAAGTGTCTGTCAGGTCCTGGGTAAGAGGCAAACGGGCAAAGATGTTGCCACTAGTTGTATCAATTCGGAAATACGTGCTGGCAAAGTTTCGAGACAAGTCTTGCAGCGAAAAGGTGAATGTACTCTGAGGACCCTGAAAAACAAAATAAAGTGCATTTACCACACTGGTGGGAATCCCGCCTTCCAATTGTCAGTTACCATTCACCAATCAGAGCTAATATACTGTCTGCTTTCACTGCTATGTTTCCAGCTATCTTATCTCATTACTTTTGTTGTTTTTACAAGTACATATATGCTGCCTGGATCCTAGCATTCATTCATCTGCTGAAAACACTGTGCTCCTCACAATAAAGAAGTGATATCCACAATTTCTTTCATATGTACACCACTGTTTAATATCAGCAAAAACCCTGGAATTCACATGGTTTATTTTGTAACTTCTTTGGAGACCATTTAGTCAATTATAAAATGCAACAGGTTTTCTTTGACTATTGAAATATATGATGAATAAACCTTTAACTGATGTCAGAGGACTGTTAATATGAACTTACAGATCTGTCTGCATCTGTTGCTACAACACGCACTATACTGTCACGGAGGGCGTGAGTCTCAAATATAGTCGCATTATAAAAGGTTGGGTTAAACACAGGGTCATTGAGGTTCCTCAGTATATTAACAATTCCAGTGACTGTAGCGCTCTTGCTTGGAGATCCACCATCCTTTACAACCACTCGTGGCTTAAAAAATATTTGACATGTTATAAAGCAACAATCAGAGCAACTGACAACAAATGTTCATGCTATGACCACACTTCAGTTTCATTTATGGATAGAGTAGCATTATTTGGCTCCTTCTCAACACAACACCATGCAAAAACCTCAGTAGAAGTTCTGTCGATGGTTTAAAATTTGCATCATTTTGTTTAGTATCAATTGCACATTCAGTTGACCTTATTTCATGGACAGCTTCACATTTGTGTAATGTGAAAGACCACATGAACACTGACAATATAGAAGTAATCTACATCTGCAAAAACATGTGAACTAGCTGAAAATGCATTCATACTAAAAGTCTGAGGAGAATTAAAACATACCACATATCTGTCTATATCATTCCTGTCCAGTTGACTTCGGACTGTGAACACACCAGTCTGGCTATTGATTTCAAAGAAATTGCCAGTATTGTCATCTCCAATCAAACTGTACTCTAAACGTGAGAATTCAGTGTTCTGCAATTTAAAACAGTAACAATCAGAAAAGAATGGGGGAAAATCTCAGTGATTACAATACTAAACAAATGACATTCAACCACTATAATAATATTAAAAATATCAGTTGCAACGATAACCATTGGTATTAGATATATGAAACTTCAAAGAAACTCACCGGTTGGTCAGCATCACTGGCTTGGAACTGGAAAACTATGAAGCCAATATTTTGTGTCTCAGGGATGGTTCTTGTGTATGGACCACCTCCAAATACAGGAGCATTGTTGTTTCTATCAATCCTGATGGTTGCTGTGGCAAGACCAACACTCTGTCTTACAGGAACACCATTGTCTCGGATTCTCACAGTCATCTTTAAACAGAAAAAAGTGCATTATTTGCCACATATTCTGAAACTAAAAATTGTTAATATAGTACACAGTCCATATTTCAGCCATACTACCAACAGTACAACATCAATGTTACAGAATCAGAACAAGTTTCAAGTAGCATACAACTGTGAACATGTGTACTGACAAAACTATCAAGCACTAGGCAAATTGTAATGCACCAATACATCAGTAACTTAAGGGAAGAATTATATCTTTATAACTTGCATAATTTTCGGAAACATGCAAACATGAACCAACATTTAGTCCCAGACAATCTGGATGAGCACAAAATGGTGTCAAAGGTATATATGATCACGATATACTCACTGTGCACTGGGGAAACGAGGAAGTTGTGAGAGCACGTGAGGCCACTATGAGTCCGGAGGCACCGAGCAGGAAGAAGGAATCACAATCTGTAGGATTCGCCGCCTCTACTGTGTAGCTCAGGATTTGCTACAACAGCCAATTTTAAACCAATAAATAACGGTCTTCAAATACGTTGTCATGAAGCAAACTAAGCTTACTTGATCAATATCATCTAAAGGTTTGAAATTATATACATTTAAAGCCATGAAAACAAACACATAATTGAATTATTCGTAATTTGTTTGAACAATGATAGCTTTTGCCAATGGAAATGTGACATGTGTATAACTTACTCCATCTGGGTCACTAGCCTCAATCTGGATGACAGACACACCAAGATCATTTGTCTCCGAGATCGTCCTGTCATAGGAGAATGTTGTGAAAGCTGGAGCATTGGGATTTTGGTTTACAGTGATGGTCAGGTTGGTAAAGTCTCTTCTCGTAGGGCGAGCAGAGTCAAAAGTTGACAGGCCAAGCTGGAATAGAAAAGATGACTAGATTAGTGACAATGCTTGAACTGACATTGAGTGTTAATAGATCATGACAGAATGTAACAGTAGTTTATTTTGCTATGTGTAAGCAAATGCCACCTTGTGGGTGTTCACCCGACTCGAGGTCTGCAATGAATCCACTATGAGGCGAATATGATACATATTTTGAATATTGAATAATGTATATCGAATGCAAATAACTCAGTAGTTGATGTATTATTCATGATATTCCGTGAAGCAATTACAAAATAAATTCTTTGATATGTATTGACCGTGCTAACATTGATATTTCATCATGACAATGACCAGAGCCAACATCTCTGTCAAATTCAACATATAAGAGTGTTGACTATTATCCTCCCTGGACTGGATATATGCCATTTTGTACTTTCATAAATAACACCTAAATCCTAGTAAAAACAATTAAAAACCCAAAAACATGCATATTCGATTCTAGTGATTGTGAATAATGAATTGAATTAATGAAGGGATAAATTTTGCTTCACCGAATATGTGAATGTATCGGAACAGATACCTACAGTATATAACAACAGTGCCAGAGGTGTCTTATAGTGTAAGATGGGCCTTCAAGCATAATGTGATACATAGAGTCTAAGAAGGGATTAACTCATATTTACTGTGTTCAACTCATACAAAATGCAGCAAAGGATGGTACTAATATCATATGGGGGCATGGTTACACTCAGCAATATCCTAGCTATATTATGCCACTAATTGAGTCTGGACAAGTGATTGACAACATGAGCATTGATATATTAGCATAGGATAGATGACATACAATAAATCAAGACACCGAGCATGAACCAGCAATATTGCAGAGATATGTTAAAGTGTGACAAGGGACTTGTTCAATAGCAAGCATCCACTGTCACAAGTAAATGACATTACACAACTGAAAAATGCCGTAAAATGAACACAGGACAAGGAAACATACATGATAATGCAGCTTTTAGTATACTAAGAAACTTACAGTGTATGTGGATGTACTCTCAGTTGATATTGAGGAAGACAGGAATACTTCTCCTGTTGTTCTGTCCACACGGAAAAAGGCTGGTGCTGATAAGTATTGTCCAGTCAGCTCGTAATTCATTTGTCCCTGAAAGATTTATTCCAAATATCATGATGTATGGTCTTTCATTTCATTATTGTACACAGAGAATAATAGATACAACAATTATTTAAAATATCCACATTACAAGTTATCAAAATGTATTTTGTATACATCAAACTCAAAACAAGAAGATGTTGAAATACATAATGCACAAAATATTGTACAATCAAAGAAAACATTATATTAGTGAGATAAGGTCTCTTAACTTACAATGAGGTCAGGATCTGTTCCCTGTACAATAAACACACGGGTTCCAACTGGATCACTGAAGTTGAGCCGAGAATTGTATGGTTCATTGATGAATGCTGGTGGCTGGTTGTCACCTCGGACATTGACAATGACAGTGGCAGTTGAGGATCTTTCTGGATTCATTCCATCCCTAGCCCTAACTGTGAACTGGAAAACAATTGAACAACATAAACAATCTGCTCCATCTTTTTACATCACAAATAATTATCAGCTTTGCATATACATTCTTCCATCACCTGTGAATACATTAAGAAAGCTGTTAAGTAGTGACATTTTTTAAATGTATATCTTGATTAATTACTACAGTTTGCATCTGACAATCAAAACTTGTTCACTTAAGAGAATAGTCCAAGACAAAAAGTAGTCTACCTCAAACCTCCTGGTGTTGGTGGATGTCAAAGGTTTGGCAACACGAATAAGGCCACTGAAAGGTCCTAGGTAGAGGAAATCTGTTTCTCCAGCCTGGTAGTTTATCACTTCATAGCGAACTGTATCCTGAAATAACAAAACATTGATGTAATAATAAACAGATATATTTAGTTCACTATTTTGTAACATACAAATAATAAGAATAAATAAAAACTTCTATTCAATTGTCAGCATGGATAAGATGTTAAACAGCAGGTATTTAACACACATTGCCACTAAGAAAGTGGTCAAATATTACTCAGTAACACACAATATATTCTGTAAAGTACAGATTCTAGCAATTTTATTTGGTTTTGCCCAATCCGGGATTCGAGCCCACAACCTCAGAGTCAGGCATCTAATCACCAACACACAAAGTCAGCCTTCTGTCCCACTCAGCCTCAACGGCTTCCATAAAATAGAAGTCAGACAACTGGTAGTGTAGACCACGGAATTTGTGTACCCCTCTGATAAGTGCACATTTCCCCAGGCTGAAAGCTATGAATATACAATGCCATTTACGATGTGACTCAACCCACCAAATGTACCAGAGGAAGTGTAATCCTGAATATAACATGTGTGACAGCAGACAGCAAAAATAACTTAGTTTCCGTTCTTGCGGAAACCTAACGGATAGTGGGTAATGTAGGTTTCCGCTAGGTTTCTGTATCCGGAAACAGAAAATGTATCCGCCTAGTTTACAAAACTGAAACTAACAAGTCTAGGTTTCAGTCATGTTTCTACATCTGAAACTGGCCCATATAGATTGGAGTTATACATATACATTATACATATGGTACAATAAGTAGTAATTAGTGATCCAAACAGCAAATCATGTTACAGGCAGTCAAGTACGTACAAGTACGTTAAATACGATGGGTCTACAAACATTTATATCAGATTCTTACGTTAAAAAAGAGCATATTTGATATAGTACGACAGCTTTATTATTACATGCTGGTCACTTGATGAAAGAAGTAGTTTAAAAGCTAATGAAGGTGGCTTACATAGACAATATTCAGCTATATATTTCGTACGCAAATCTTTATAAAACGGACATACAAGTAAAAAATGGATTTCATTTTCCACATCTAAATTACACAGAGGGACATTATCTTGCATCGTTCTATATAAAAAACGTCTTCCTTCGTTTACCATTATGTTGATCAAGCCTAACCTAAAACGTATGAATGGATATCTTAATTTCTTTGATGTTAAAAACGACAGATATTTCTCCGGCTGGAGTAGTGATTTGTATATTCTATAAGAGTCATACCATGAACTATTTTCTATCACTGAATGCCATTCTTGTTTAAACATATTAAGACTTCTTTCTCGAAACTGAGGTAAACACAAACTTGCTTCACCAACTGACTGACGTAACCATACAAACCCATAACCATGTGAAAACAAAAGCTTTCTTACATAAGATGCCCACGTCACTTTACCAGTGTTGTCCAAATGAACAAGTCCGTTTGAGTCAGAAACGGACCGATGAATTGCAAATTTTATCATTGTACAAAATTGCCACATAAATATAAATAGTACACATGTTTATCATTTACTAATACCCAACAGCTTTCTTATATTTGAAAATTTTCCGGACTCCACCAAAAAGTTGTTTAAGAAACTATCATCATTGAAAACGCAAAAGTTGTTATCTGTCGCGGCGGGGTGAAACCGCAGAAACGGAACAGCCAGTCATGGCGGGGGACATCTCAAAATCTATTCCGGGAGACCTGTCGGTTCCTCGTCCGTCGTAGTGTCATAGTCACGACTTAAAGGGATGACAAGTGGTGCCACAGTTGCCTGTTGTAAGCCATCCCGAGACCAGTAACCTTGTTCAATGACGTTAGCTACCTTGTTGACACAGTTTTGCCAAGTTTCAGTCGTGATTTTGTTAAGGGATTCCTTAACCAAAACCTCTACGTCACGTAATCTAAAAGTTGTGTTTGATCTGGCAACATCTCCTTTGACAATACCCCATATCATTTCAATGGGGTTAAGGTCACAGTGATAGGGTGGAAGTCGCAGAATATCGTGACCCTTACTTTTTATGTAACTGTCAACTTTGTAGAAAGGTTCACCTTTGTGGGTTTTTATGATCTCATATAGCTGAGGCTTCGTTGCCTTTGAAGGCCGTGCGATCTGAAATTTGTCGAGCCATGATATCATATCACCTTTTCGACTGTTCGATGTCGGGGCTTTACTGTCGGGGTCCTGCACGCTGTGGTATGGGGCATTGTCCATTACGATAAAAGACTTCTCTGGTAGAGCTGGTACCAACTTGTTTTTAACCCAATCGAGGAAAACCGCACCATTCATCTCGGAATGGTAGTCTCTGTTATCTGTGGACTTTGCCCTGAATACCAAGTCGCAGCCTGGGAGAAAGCCTTTGCTGGAGCAACCAGCATGGAGAATGATTAGTCTCTCTCCTTTCCCTAGAGGCAGCTTTCTACGTGACCCCTTATCACCCCATCGGGTACCCACTGACTGCTGGCAGTGTGCGAGGCATTGACCCAGGTCTCGTCCAAGTACACTGGCTCGAACCCTTCCTCGCGCTTCTTCTTTATAACCCTGAGAAAATTATTTCTCAAGCGAACGATATCAGGGCGTTCACAGAGTACTGACCTATTCTCCCCCGAAATTTTCTTATAACGATACCCGAAAGAGTGTAAGAGTCGCCAGAGTGTGTACTTTGATACTCTGAGGTTGTGTTCTTGCTTCAAATGCTTTTTTAAAATTTTCAGCGACATGTATTTGTTTTCAGAATAGAGCTTGTTGATAGACTGCCTTACAAGGTTCTTTTGAAAGTTGTCCAAATGTTTTAATTTGTGTGATTTTGACACGACCCCTACCTGCTTCGCATCACCCTCACAATGTTTGTGTTCCAGAACATTTGTCAGTACCCTTGCTGATACTCCTAAAGCTTTTGCTGCCCGCTTACGGAATTTATTAATGGCATAAAATGGTTTGCCCCTTTCGGCTTCAGCACGGAAAAAATCGTACACTTTAATCATCAACTGTTTCACGTCAGCATTCAACTTCATTTTTCATCAGGCATGTGTATCCCGTGCACGACGAGATAGTGGCTGTTCCGTTTCTGCGGTTTCACCCCGCCGCGACAGATAACAACTTTTGCGTTTTCAATGATGATAGTTTCTTAAACAACTTTTTTGGTGGAGTCCGGAAAATTTTCAAATATAAGAAAGCTGTTGGGTATTAGTAAATGATAAACATGTGTACTATTTATATTTATGTGGCAATTTTGTACAATGATAAAATTTGCAATTCATCGGTCCGTTTCTGACTCAAACGGATACCATCACCACAACGTACACAAGCTTTCACATAAGTATACATTGCTTTTAAAATCGAATACATTCTACCTTTCACGCCAGTATTACTTAAAGAGTACCACAATTTAGAACGATTAACAGAATCAAATGTTTTACGGAAATCAACAAAAGCTACATATAGTTTACGCTTACGACGGGATAGACATTTCTGGGCTAATGGAAATAGTGTGAAGATATGATCAGAAGTTGATTATTTCTTTCTTAAACCTGCTTGTGATTCCAGAATTTTATCTGTCATGCTTGTCCATTTAGCGAGCCTGTTATTTAGAACAGATTAAAGACTGTACCCAAAATAAGGGAGATTCCTCTATTATTTTCGGGATTGGTGACATCACCTTTCTTATGTAATGGAACAATAATTAATCGCGCCCAACAACGGGGTAAGATACTATTTTCAAAGAATTTATTAAAACAGTTATTCAAAAACAATAACAAACTGTGACCTTTTAAGCATTTCCACCACATCGAGGTCAAAGACCAGCTGATTTTCCATTTTTTAAATGCAATAACGCTTCTGAGATTTTATTATCTCTTATGGGCGAGTCTGATACAATTAAATGATTCCACGTCTGACATATCTGCAGACAAAATACCTGGTATTGCATCTTCTTGCAAAGGACAATCATCAAAAGAATCATTTAAAACAGAATCATTATGAAATACATTTTTAAAATGAATTAACCATTCTGCTTTCGGAATTACAGTTTTTCGTGTTGGTCGACTTTTTAAATAACTTATTTGTTTCCAAAATGGCGTCGAGCTTTTAGTTGCCTTTGTTAAGTTTTCAACATTTCTGGGTATTGTAAGTTTCCGCTAGGTTTCTGTACCCGGAAACTGACAAGCCTATTGGTTTCAGCTTAGATAATTAGCTTAGTGCTGTTCCATTGGGGGACTGTAAATTTACTGTTGCATTTGCAAGATTTCTTTCTACAGACAGAAACTTACAACTGTGAATGTTTGTCTGTTACCACCTAATACATTTTATATGAAAAAACAACAAACACAGTTATTTGGATATTTAAAGCAAAATTAAATGTACAAAATGAAAAGAAAATGCAAACCTCATAATAAGTGTTGGGCCTAATAAATTCAGAACTAAACTGGTTTAACTACTGGATAAGAATCTTTGATGTAATTTGTTACTCAACCTACCCCATCAGCATCTGGAGCATACAACTGAAGGATAGTGGACCCAAGTGCACGAGTTTCATCAATTATCACCTCATAGATGCTATCAGTTTCATTGAAGATAGGACCATTTGTATTCCTTTGCACTGTGATGGTGACATTGGCAATAGCCTTCTGAAGGTTGACTGTGAACTGCTTCTCTGCTTCAACTTGTAACTGAGAAGAAACATACAATCCCAGGTGAATCTAGATTAAATTAAGTGTCATATATTCAACAACCATTTGTTACTGTGCTAGTTTCATGTCCTAAACGATGTGAATGAAGATAAAACATTAAAAAGAACAAGACGATTATTGTCCGGATCGGTAAAAGGATTACTCAGTTCTTCATAAGAGGAAAGTTTAAAACATTTAAAACTTTGAAAGGGAGATAAACTTGACTCATACATAAAAGGTTGGCCGCCTTGAAACATCTGTTGCGAGGTCCTTGATGAGAGTTATCTCCCCATTATTTGGGTTGACACGGAAGTAATCTCCGGAGTCACTGTAGCCAGTAAGCCGGTATATCACATCAGGCTGCAGACAAAACACAATATATATTTCATACAGCCATGGAAATCCTAACAGATACTATGGTTCAAATAGAGAATCTGATAGAGTTTCTAACTGTAATATTTCTTACCCCTGGTATTGCCTCAAGATTGATGATACTGCTTGTGGCAGGGGTGTTCTCCACAATTGTAAACACATAGTTGTCCTGCCGGAATGCCAGTGTCTGGCTATCACGAGCCACATTAACACGCACAGTAGCTACAGCTGTCTTGGGGGGGCTACCACCATCTTGAACCCTCACCAAAAACTGCAACAAAAAACACAACACAGATTACTTTATGCTTCCAGAATTTGTAGTTTGCACAAGAAAATCACTGAAATCTGCAGGATCCAAAATAGATTGACAGAAAAAATGACATAAACTTACATCATACTGACGTACTGTTGACCCGATAAAAGACCGCTGTGTACGAACTGCTCCATTGATGGGATTGACATATAAGTAGTCTGTACTACTCGGGTTCAGGGCCAGATATATCAGCACGTTATTCGGAGCCTGGAAAACACATTCATTAGTATAAATTTTAATCCCATTTGGTACATCAGTCAACATCATAAATTACAATAAGGGTCAATTCAGTACTCTGTCATGTTACACACTATACAAATCAGAACTCTCTCATTCTTAACCTATGGATTGTCATTTTACACTGTGTACACAATCCTGTATAATTTCATGTCTTCTACACAGAGAAATTAGATCAGCAGCATAACAATTTAGAGGCCTTGTTGCTTGCCATAATGACAATATAAGTTCTTACCTGAGGGTCACTATCAGTTGCATTGAGGATAGTAATGAGTCCACCCACTGGATAGTTTTCATTAATATTGCGCTCAATGAATGAATTACTAAAGACTGGTGTTGCAAGGTTCCGGATCACTTGAATGTCCATCACAGCTGTTCCTGATAGAGCAGAGCGGCCACCATCTCTCACTTCAAGACGAACCTGAAACAAATATGTAAAGGTCAAATTTGAAATGTCTAAGACGAAAACAGGATGGAAACGACACTTTAAAATCTAAATTGAAAATGAAATATTGACATCCAATGACAGAAAACTTTAATTACCGTATATGAAGTGGTGGTATCTGCAGCAAGGTCAGTCGCACTGGTAACCACCACATTGTTTCCATTTAGGTTGAATAATGCAGGGGCGTTACCATCACCAAGTATCCTGAAGTTCCGTTCATTGAAAGGTGCCTGAAACACAACAATGTTACTATACATACATGTGGAAATATACCTTAGAAAAGAGAGAAGTGCCATTAACAGACCCACAGTAGGTAAAAGAACCAGCCTGAAGCTGAATCATCCAAAGTCATCAGAAATTCATCAAAGCAGTCTATACACAGCAGCAATACAACAAATTCAAACTGTACCAAACAGTTCCTATACTTACATCTGTATCACTGTCAGTAACTGTGAATGTTCCGACAACTGTGCCAGTGGTGACATTTTTCTGCAATACAGCCTCGTATGGCAGATTAGTGAACTCTGGGGCTGTGTTCCTGATCACATTGATGCTCACTGTGGCCTGGTTGGTGGAGTCACGTCGCGGATTGCCTTGGTCCTGTGCTGATACTTGGCACTGAAGCACATATAAAATCATTCTACAACCAGTGTCAAAAACACCCATCTTGATACAAAATATATAAATAACAAGAGATTCCATGGCATTTGATTTTTAGCCAAGCAAATTCTTATGCTGAAACTGATTGACATTTACAATTGTTGGTGTTGCATTACTGAACAATGTCTCTGTTTTCGTATCATTGTTATAACTTTTGTGTTAATCACTAAATAGGCAGCTGTGAAGTGATTATTGCTAGCATATTCATTAATAAGAATTGACTTCAATATTTCTGTGTATTTATGTAAAGTACACATCTTAATACACTATAAACATATTGACGTCCAATCATAAAAAGATACAGCAATTGATTACACGCTTATAAATGAATTATTTTGAAAGATCATATATTTATAAAACGTTTAATTATGACACAATGTTATTATGGACAAATAAAAAGATGCTATTAAACAACTCATAAAGATGCATCTCATAGTGAAAATGTTTCTCGAGCAACCTAAGTACTCACAGTGTAGAATGTGGCCCTTGTAGGATCTGTGACAAGGTCAGCTTGTACATACAGTCCCCCATTGTTGTTGATGCCAAAGTATCGTTGACATTCTATATTACCAGTCGGCTGGTAGGTCAGTGCATTGTTGGGGGCCTGCAATATTCATGTGTTTGCCAAAAGTAAATTTAAGAACCAACTTTTCAAAATCAATGACATTATCTGTACTGCCAGTGTACATACACAGAACAGAATGCATTTAAAGATAAAATAAAAATATGTTAAAATGTTAAACAAAAGTCTCTTTACAATAAGCAAGCTTAAATCTGTGAATTGGTTACATGAACATACCGAAGTGTCCAAGTCTTGAGCTGTGGCTGAGATAAAAACTTCACCAAAGTTTATGGTCTCCAAAATCCTTGCACTGTAGGTTGGGGTGTTGAAAACCGGTGCACGAAGATTTCGGGTCACATTAACGGACACAACAGTGATATCAGACAGACGTGGGTTGCCACCGTCTCGTGCTCGTACTCGGATCTGATACATAATAGAGCAAACTTTACAATAAATGCCCATATATGGTGCAAAGACAGACAATGAGCCGATACTAACTGAAATAAAACTACTAAAATGGTAACAAAAAAAACAGTATTTTCTCAAAAGACATTTAAATGGTAGAAGACAATTAAAGGAAAACAACGCTTGTTGAAAATGAAAGCTTGACCTTGTACTGTTTATTTGAAAGACACACTCTCTCAGCCCATCATCATGTTCAGGGCTCCACTTTCCTCCTTGCTGTACCAACATTAATGAAGCAGGCCTATGCCCTTGTATATTGTTTACACACAGTAGGTGAACTTACCCTGTAGAGCTCAGCACCATCACCACTAAAGGTGTTTCGGAGAGATATCTGACCACTGCTCTCATCAATTTGGAAGATGGCTGGGGCATTGTCATCACCAATGATATCATACCTCACATTATTGAAGGGAAACTGAAACACACATCTCCATTAATAAGGGAACACATAACCTCACATTATTAGGAACATGTATATAAGTTGAGGAGGATCCAGTCCATTGTCAGCTTTAGATTAACAACTTTAAAATATCACACTACTCTGATACTGTTATTCACACCCAAATATTTTGTAAAGCAATTCTGCTGATATGGGCATACCTCAACATCTGCATCAGTGGCTGTAACTTGGACTACACCATCTCCTGCACTTGCTGTTGCCAGCAGTGACTGGCTGTATGGCTCGTTGACAAACACAGGAGGAAAATTGTTGCGAGTTACATTGATGCGAACTGTGACAAACTGACTACGCAGTGGAGGGGTACCACCATCTTGGGCATACACCTGGAACTGAAGATTAATCATTGCTCTTATTGATGGAAAATCCTACATTTTTGTCATCATACCTTATATAACAGAAAACATTAACAACATTTACAGCATGCATTATCTTTATCAATAATCTCTTATACCTACTAAAGCAATGACTGACTGTCTACTCACTGTGAAAGTCTGGCCAGATTCACCAATAAGTGAGCGTCTAACAGTTACAGCTCCATTGTTGACATTCACAAGAAACCTGTCTGATGAGCCACTTGCAAAATAGCTGACTGTACTGTAGGGGGCCTGGAAACAGAGTGATACTTCATACACACTGTTCATAACTTTTGACACATATCAACACAAAATCATGATTCAAATTCATATGCTTTAGAGGATAATCAAATTTATGATGCTACGCTAAAGCTAATGATGTAAGTTAACCAGACAAATGTATACACCACTATACAGGAAGTATAAGGAATACAAGAAATCTGAATCAAAAGCTAACAAACAGTCCTATAAACAATTACAAAACTGGTATCTTCTTTTTCAAAATGGGAGCAGGGTCTTCCTTTTATTCCAAAATGAAAAGGTAATGTCAACAAGACATCATTGTATATTTGAGCTAAAATGAGCTTTCATGTCATCATGAACACAGTACTTACTGTTTGGTCGCTGTCCTGGGCGAACACGTTGAGAATACTGGTGGATACAGGAATTGTTTCCTGAATGACACGCTCGTATAAAGCCTGAGTGAAGACAGGAGCAAACAGGTTTCTCTGAATGAACACAGTGAGTACTTCCACATCGGTAAGACCTGAGCCGTCCACAGCCTGGAGTCGCACCTGTTGCATAACATAATCTATCTTCACAGACTATTGACAGTTGTTGGCACAAATGAACTTGCCTCAGTGCCAAAGTATATGTTCCTGATAAAGTTGTCTGTGGCGCTGGACTTGAATGTATGTCTTTGACAATTTTGTGAAAAAAAATGCATATTCAAACACCTATGTCACTGTGTTTTCATTAAACTGCATGTCACTGATACACATGTGACAGTGTTTCAATTAAATGCATGATCCTGATACATTTATCAAAGTGCATTTAAATACAAATTTATGTTCCTGATACATTTATAAGTATGTTGATGAGGTTGGTGAGGCACATTTTGACTTACCCTGAACTGTGTATTCGGGATGTTAAACACTGGCTGTGCAAGTGACACCGCACCACTGGTAGCATCAACACTGAAGAAGCTCTGACTCCCATCATCCCCAATGATGCTGTATTGCACCACATTGAAGGGACTCTGAAAATAGTATAATTATCTATAAGTATCTATTGGGTTTTCATATCAGATACCTTAACCAAAATTCCCATTTTTATCAAAACTTGTACACTCAGATTGCAGTTGATCAATAGACAGATATAAGTTGTTGTATGCTAAAGAATCATTTAATCGAGAATTTTACATACATTGGACTGTAGATACTCCTTGAAGAAAAATTTGGCTTATGTACATTTGACTGCGGATTGTATGTATTTAGATACTTTGTGGTTGTACTCTCACCGTAGAATCACCATCAGTGGCCAAAGCAGTGAAGACTGGTGAGCCCTGTGGTGTGGTGTTGTTGATGACAGCTGTGTAGTTGGTGGTAATAAAGACTGGAGGAAAGAGATTCCTGTCCACAGTGATATCAACATTGGCAGGCTGTGGTGCCCTCACTCCACTTCCATCTATGGCATCAACAATAAACTGAAAGTAGAACCAAAAATCAACAGAATGATTCAATAGAATCGAACCACTGATTCTGTCATTTGTGTTAATCGTAACTCAGAAGCGTTGTGTGGCAGCTCAAAGAAATCGTGTGCACACAGGGACTATAGACACCTACCCTGTATACAGATGTGTCACTGGTGTCTGTCTCCAGATTACGCCTCACACTCACAACACCAGTTACCGGATCGACCATAAAGTACTGGCGTCCCAGAGTACTGAATGGAGCACCGCTGATCTCATACCGCAATGTGTTATATGGGGCCTGGAAAGAGATACTCATAATTATTTGGATGATAAAAATGTTCACAAAAATAAAGCTCAATTGTGGTAATTATTTAAAGCATGTAAGAAAATTGATGACAAGGACATCCACAACACTCACAACTCTGTCTCCATCTGTTGCCTGAACCTGCACAACAGAGACTGCAAGCTGTTGTGTCTCGGTATCCTGGCACTGTAAGCTTGGGTAGTGAACACCGGAGGATTAAGGTTCCTGTTGACAGTTATGTAAACCAACGCTGTGGCAGAACGGGCAGGGGACCCTCCATCTCTTGCTTCAATGCGCAGCTGAAGAATAACAGGTATGTAAGCAATAAGAAATTAGGTTCCTTTCACAATAGTGGTATACAACAATAATTACTGCATGTACAAAGAAAGTAAGTGAAAATTATACTTACTGTATAACGGAGATCATTTTCTGCGTCCAAAATAAGGTTCCTAGTGACATTGATTTGATTGTTGGCCAAACCAAAGTATATTGGTCCTTTCTCATCACCAATCACACGAAGTGTCACTTGGTTAAATGGACTCTGAAGTGAGAAGAGAAATGCATAGGTGTACTTGGCATGGTATGGCACTGTGAAACTTTTACAGTATAAAATGTCTGGCTGTGCAAAAATTTGTCATTAGGATTTAGTCATGATCAGATATGTTGATCATGGGTTCTAATCCCTGTTGCACTGTGACAATGGATTGTCAACACCATACCTTTGTCTTAAATGGCTAACATTTGGGACTCATATCACTTAATGCTGACATGCCACGGTGTAACTGATATGCTTTTTAAAGTGGCTCATAATCCACAGTCAGTCAAAATATTCTTGCTAAGCTTGGAAATTTGAGAATGTCCTTTGAGTCATACTGAAAACTGTTCAGAAGAGGAAGATTGTGTTCATGATAACTGCACTGTGAACCCGGTCTAATACTTACATTGACATCAGAGTCCTGTGCAACAACAGGTAGGATCTGTGACCCCACAGCTTGATCTTCATTGATTGTAACTGAGTAGGGGCTACCAACAAAGAAGGGGGCATTGTTGTTGCGGCGGACAGTAATTCTCACAGTTGCTCGTTGTGACTGCTCCCGGGATGGTACACCTTTGTCACGTACAAGAGCCTGGAACTCATACACTGAATCTGGGTTTCCTGTTAGAGGTCTCCTCAGAACAACATTACCAGTATCAGCCTCAGCACTGAAAACGTGAGACCGGTCGCAGAATTGGGAATCTGGGGCAAACCTCTACTGTGTTGTATGGGGGCTGAAATGTAATAAAGACGTTTAACATTGTGGTCAAAACCATATGACTTGACGCATAGCAGCATACATCACAGCCCAGAGAATTCCATCAAAGGTATAATTATACAGAACAGATCCAGTAGACCAGTCAGAAAACCTAGACCCCTGATTTCAGAAAAAGCCCATTTGTCCAAATACAAGAGAAAACTCCAGTAACATGATGAGCAAATTAGCCTGTGGCAGTAGTCTAATGATAGGACATCATTGTGTCAAAGTGTGTACATACCACAGAATCTTGGTCAGTGGCTGAGATGCTCAGAACTGCGTTCCTACTTCTGTAGTCTCATCAATCTCCGTAGTGAATAGCAACTGGCTGAAGGTTGGGGTGTTTAGGTTGCGATTGATGATGATCGACACCACAGTTGTGTTGGTCTTAGGTGGAACACCATTGTCAGAGGCAACAATTCTCAACTGTAAAATACATGTTTCATGTAAACCACCAGCTAGAGGTATTTGTTTATTAGCATTTATCTTTTCTCTCTCCAAAAATATTCCTTAAGTATACCAAAATCCTTGATCAAATACAAAATATAACACAAAATTAGTATCCTAATTATTGGACTATTCAGATTTGGGTTATTGTACTAATTCATATCACGTTATCAAATGCACAAGTATTTTCAGCTAATACAACAAAATAAGACCTACATAGAACCTGGTGTCTCGAATACTTTGTAGTGACTTGCCTCCTAATGATACTACCACCTGGTGTCACGTCGAAGTATGCAGGTGCAGTGCTGTCCCCAATAATTTCATAGCTCACACGGTTGAATGCATTCTGAAGGTAAAAATCATGTAATGCACTGAAATGTGTTCGTTGCTTTGCACTTGAATTTATCTAAGCAATGCCTTTAATTATATCATTAACACATGCTTTATCTCAGTTACTGTTATTTCCAAAATTGCAGTTAATGTATACTTTATAGCCTGCAAATGATACACAGATTGGTGAAAATTAAACCCTTATTCTGCTAATTTGCTACATCTCAATTGCCAGATACAAGAGTTAGTTTGCACCGATATTTCAGTTAACGTTTATAACTTCCTTCAGTTACTGAATGTTTTGTAATACACAACAGTAAACATGCTTACAATGTCGTCATCAACTGCCAGGACATTGACAATGTTGACATTTGCACCGATAGTCTCATCAATAGTGGCACTGTGTAAGGGTCATTGACCCAGCGTGGAGTATTCAGGTTGCGGATGACATTGACAGTAATGGTGGCAGTGGAGGGAGCAGGCCTTGTGGATCACCACCATCTGTGACTGCTACAATCAGCTGCAGAACAAATTAGAACAATTATTAATGTAATGGTTTTACAAAGGTATATACAAACATCAACACGAAAAAGGGCCTGCTATAACCAATGATCTCTGTACTTACTTGTACTGGCGAGTCTGGAGCGTGTCCTGAAGAAGAGAGGACTTGAGACGGATCTCACCACTGTCACGATTTATCAGGAAGTAGGTTGATGCAGTATTTTCTCCAATGATGGAGAAGAGCAGTGACCTGTATGGATCCTGGAGAGAACAAACAGTGAAATATCTCCATCTAAACATATTTTACACAAAAGAACTTTCATTTCCTCAAAAAACTTTTACAACTAGGTTCGCTCAATGTACCTTCCTCATAAATCTTGATAAATACAGAACTCCATTACAACACATTTGGAAGACAGGTCTGAGACCATCTCTAGTGTATGTGAATGCATATTCTTGTCCTGTACCAAAACTTAACTAAAATGAAATGAAATGACAAAACAAAGAACAACAAGCAATCCACATGATTATGAAGAACATGAAGTCCATGCAATTGTCTACAACAACAAAAAAACAACAACAACAAAACAAAACAAAACAACAACAAACAAACAAAACAGGAATGGAAATGTGACCCTAAAGCAGGTAAGTCATGTGTCTATCAGGTTGACATTATATATCTAAATGATCATCCTTTTACAATCACACTTGTAAGGTTCTTACCTGATAAATCTGCATCAAAGGCATCAACATCATAGATAAGGTAATCAAAGCCAATAGTTTCCAGTACTGTGGTGGAATTTTCAAAGAAGTCTTGGTCCTGAAGGATTTGTTAAGAACGTTGCATTGAGGTTACGATCAACTCCCACAGTAAATGTGTTGTAGGTCACACGCCCTTGGAGTTTCCTCCCATCTTGTGCTTTAAAACTGTTACCTGAAAAAGAAGAGACAATCGTATATAATCAAATCATAAACATACAAAGAAGTAATAAAAAGTGAATGGAAAAAACTGGGAAAACATCTCAACACATCTTGAAATACGACATTTTTTACCCCATATTGAGCTTTGGGAATCCAGTATAACAGCTTGTGTGAGAGTTATCTCCCCTGTTGTTGGGTTGATTCGGAATCTGTCGATGGTCACGCTGGCAATTCCATATGTGATTTCATTGTAGGGACTCTGAAACAATTACAAGATGAAATATATAACCGATAAGCATGAAAATAAGCCAACATTTACACACAAACAATAAGGAAATTAAATCAATGCTTGAGAAGGAATGTAAATCCCTTGTGTCTGGCATCAGTAGCAGTTACAGTGATAACTGGGGTGTTGGCTCCTGCTGTTCGGCAAACACAGTGGTGTCGTAAGGGATCTGTACAAACACAGGGGAGGCCTGGTTCCTCACAACGTTGATAGTGACAGATGCAGGTTGGGCTTGATGACAGAGGGCTGGCACCTCTATCTGTAGCTTGGACTGTCAGCTGAAGAACATACAGGCTGATTAGACAAACAGTCATTTTGTTTACAATCACTCTGAATATAACAAGGTCATTGCATGAAAATCACTCTGCTCAAATGTTGAATTAAACAATATGTCTTTTTTGTGTGTTTGATTTATAACCATCACCATATGATTTTAAATTCCCCTTGATCAGAAACATTAAATGATTGGGTTGAACACTTGTAGCTATAACCAAACGTTAGAACCAGTTCAATACTAATCAAAGATCAACTTGTACACAGGTGATGTAATGGGATACCTCTAGATGTAACCAATGTTTAAATATTATATCAAACTTTAAAATGCATATAATAAAGAAAGACAAATTACATTCTTTGATCAGATTCCTCTTTTCCCAAACAGTGCATGTGGATACATAAATAACTAACTCAATATAAAAAAACACGTCTCTTTCCAGTTACAAAGATCTATGAGTGTCAGAAATGTGAACAGATAACAGACAGAAGATAAGTCATTACAACAATTTCATAGAACAACATGGACATTCTATCACAACAGTAGTTCTTGGAGAGAGCTAAGTCACCTGATATCTTGTGTTGGAATCTTGGACAAGGTTATTGACCACTGTCACTTGTCTCGGCTATTAACATTGAAAAACGTCAGGGGCCAGATCCAGAGGCAGAGTATGTAATCCTCGTTGTAGTGGTTCTGAAAGAGAATGATTTGCACTCATAAAGAATCTAAAACAAACAAAACAACAAAACTCTTTACCTGGAATACAGACAATGTTATTCTGAAATCTATACTCATTTTTAACATATGTTTACCAATACACATAAAAGGACTAAGGAAATGTATTTTTTATTAAAATTGATATTTTATACTTATCCTGACTCATGCTTAGTTGCTTGTCTCCTTCTTTTTCTGCGAATGATAGTGGAACACTTGAATCCCCTTTGAAGCTCCCTTTAAAAAAAGCGGACGTAAAAATCACTCACCCAGCGTTATCTCCCTTTACATGTTTTTAAGGGAATCCGTCACATGACCCAACATGCTCTTCTCACTCTCTCCGACTAAATCGCCTGACACTCTGGATCAGGGAATCCAGAGTGCCATGAGGGAGGTTAGAGGGCTTACTACTCATAAGGCGCAGGGATAAGCATAAAATATCAATTTTAATAAAAAAAATTACATATTTTCCCGCATCCTGACTCATGCTTAATTGCTTGTAGAATCCACGGGAACTGGTGCAGGGTCAAGCCACTCTGATTCATTGCCGATTTACGTCCTGCATACCCCTGAGGGAACTTCTTATAGTGCTCTCGTTGATCCCTTCTTCCAGCCTCCTCTGATGAGTTTGGGGAACCAATAACTTGTCAGATTTCTGAACCGCTTCTCCTGAATATTGGGCGCGTGGATTTATATTGACTCCATGTCTCTTGATGCTGGCATCAAGTGGAGAAACGACCCTTCATCATATACGAGTAAGTCTCATAAGCATAGGGTCTTGTCACTCATGCTGGCTCCAGGTCTTAGACGTGCACATGGACTCTAAGCTCTAGCTCTTCCTCGAGCGTTGGCTTTTACAAGTCACGTGATAAAAGGATGAGATTCATCTCAGCACCTTTTGAGGAACCGTCAATTGTTGTGCTACACAACAAGAAGCCCAAACCGGTGAATGCCGAGACATCCTCGGTAGCAATGTTCTGAGGTAGTGGTTGGCAAACACCGCCCCTTACTTCCAATAGCAGCCCCTCCATTATTGTCGTCGATTGAGAAGTTTCATGTAGAGCGAGTAAGTCGATGCCAGCTCTGACTTCAAGAGGATTGGAGGCTCGTGGAGGCTCAAGTCCCGTTGCTTTATAGGGCTTTCACATGGCGACGCTCATCCATATTGGATATAGTTGTAACGTGAGATTTCTGTAGGCAGCGCTCCGTAGATAGAGGGATGAAAAGGCGCTTGAATTCAAGGTCTCCCTCGTCTCAGACTTTGTAGGTAGACTTTCAATGCCCTGGATCGGGCAAAGGATAGATCCCGAGTAATCCCTGTGGCCTGGGTTGGACTGCCGAGAAGCATGGACATGTGGAATTGTCTGTCTGGTTGATCAAGAAGTTGGTTCTTTGCTGCGAAGTCCCATCTCAATCCCAGATATATAATGCTGCTATGTGCATCAAAAGCTGCATTCGCTCAAAGTCCAGAGCATGTATTTCTGACATCCAAGCTGCTGCTGCTTTCAAGGTGACCAGGAACAGAGTTTTGCGTAAGCTAGAAACTCATAGGGATATCCCTTTCTAGTGGTTCGTTAGCGTCACTCGGTGAGATGCTGTGCAAGACTACGTTGAGATCCCCAAGCAGGCGCTTCTTTAAATGTCCCTTTTGTTGGTCTTCCAACTTAAAGTGAGCGTAGTAGAGCCAGTGCATATCTGGTACTTTGTCAGCTTAACACCCATCTTTCATGGTGATAACCGGTGCTGAGGGCCGCTAGGTATGTAGAGAGCATTGAATCTCTTTGTCTTAGATGACATAGGTATTCGGCCACTTGAGGATGTGTTGCTTTCAATCGCCTTGAAGTCCCTTCCTCAATCATATTTTCAAAACTCTGCCAATTTCTCATCATACAAGCTGTGGTAGTTTGATCTACGAGAGCTAGTGTGATCATGCTCGCTGGTCATAACATCCCTCTTTCTTTCAAGCAAGTTTTGATACGTTCCATGCGCGTAGCTGGAATACTGTTGGATTCCGTACTTGTTTTGGTGTATGGATGAATTATTAGGTTCTGCCACTCTGTAGTTTGGACTCTGGAGTTCTTTGCATGAGGATGGAGTCCACAACCTCGGGCTGGCCTGTAGGGCTTATCAAATCAATCACTGCAGCTTCTTCTGCCTGTTTGATTTTCTCTGCAACACCCGCGTATTAGACAAGGGAGGTGGAAACGTGCGCCATTTAGTCCGTCCCAGGAGATGCTTAGAGCATCTGTCGCCCATGCTTGTGATCCTGAACCGGAGAGACGAATGTTGGTATTCGGTTTGTTGAACCTTTATAGCAAACAGGTCTACTGAACGGATATCCCATCCTCCAGGCGATGCATCTGAATGCTTCTGGATGTAACATCCATTCCGGCCGGGTTGGTTGTGTTGGACGATATAGACGCTTATCGATTCTGGCTCTGGCAATGCTATTACGCTTTTAAGTCGACGTTCAGGGTTGTCTATTATATTGAACAGATGAGTTGAGGTCAAGAAGAGTCCTTGACCTGGTTGGATCCTTGTTTAGCTGGATGTAGAACGCCACTGTGGAGTTGTCCGCATGGATCATCAGTTGTGCTGCCTCCCTTAGTATGCTGGACCAGTGTAGTAAGGCTGCTTATTCCTTCTTTCCTCCTCGCAGCATGTTGATGTGCAGATTCTTTGCCCTGACCGAACCC